CTTTCAAAAGAAAAAAAGCCATTATACAGTTCACTATACTAGGCATCAGCATCCCTGACCCACATACTGGTTTCCAGTTACATGGACCTTCCTACTGGAATAAACTGCAACACAAACTGAAGTTAAGAGTCACTTGTGCCTTTGAGGGATTTCAACATTCTTCTTACTAATATATTTAATAATACTTGTGAATATTTTATTTTTGTGTCTGTATGCATGTTTGTGTTATTGTTTTGTGTTACTGGCCTGTCTTACTGCAATGATGCATGAATAGATCTCTCCTGCAAGAGATTTGACCTTGATGAGACTGAATAAATAATAATGACTAGATAAACTAATATCAATCTGAACAATGATATGGACACATATGGTTAAAATACTTCAATAAGTACAATGCAACAGTAAAATTGTTTTTTTTCCTCATTAATAGGCAAATTAAATGCAAGGTGCTCTCAAACTGGATTACATCTACTTAATATGTGATGCTGTATTATTGACATAGCACTTTCCAAGATGTGTTATAGTCAAATGTGAACAGAAAACAAGTTTAGCTTCTCCCAAAGGACCTTGCACTCCCAAATGACAGGTTAGGATCAGCCTACTTCGTGGACAATAGACTTCACTGAGAAATTTCATTCTATATTCAACTGTGAAGTTTATGTGATTTATGATCAGGTGTTGTCCACATATCCACTGCTACTGAAAAACAATCCACTGTGTAAATTTAGAAAGAAATGTAAAAAGTGCAATGAGCATATCTGACAGAACTGTGACCTCTGCGTCAAGTTTCTTGTCTTGCTACTTCTTAGACATTATCAAGAATCAGTTCATTTGTGGCCAAACAAATAGTTTACAGGACATGAATCAAGTAAATATCTCACATAGGAGAGGCTGTTTGTAGGCTACTTAGTTGAGAATACAATAGGTAGAGTTTACAAAAATTACTTTTCTAACTGTAGAAATACAACAATTATTTAAAAAATATGAATACAATGACATCATATAGTGATATTATTATTATATCATTATTATTATCTTTATGAACTCTCCTGAGTAGCACTTACACTATAAGCTCCTGTAGGAACAGTAATATGAAAGTGTGTTTTTTGTAAACAGTAAAATGTATTAACATAGTTTAAATAGGAAACACACAACACTGTGATCTATGATGGAGTTGATGTAAATAAATGGTTGTAGGTTAATGATTTGAGTGGCAGTGTTCGTCATGTGTTTTGCCTCAGCCTCCTGCAAACATGAGGGCATGCACATGTGGATGAGGCAGCAGGAAGAACTTGATAAAATGGTCCCTGGAAGATTGTACAGTCCCACCCTCAACACTGTTATGTAATACACTGCTGCCACTGCCAAGTGAAAAAAACACAAGCCTGCTGTAAATCCATTCACTGCCAATTTTCATTAAAACATACAAACATTTTAAGGCTGTGATGACAGTACAACAGAACTGCTGACCAGGACATATTAAAGTTAATCTAGAACAGGCTCATGTTGGACATTAGCTCACTGGACTAAAATGTTGATACTTTGAAAGTAAGTAGCTACAAACAGTTTGCTCACCTGTCCGTGTTTTATCCCTGGTATGAGAAAAAACGGTTCACTTTTACCAGAAGGAAAACAGAGCATCTCCACAACAGCGGAAGCAACGCCTCTGACTTTAGAAACTAATAAACTGATACACGGTGAATCTGTTGTTACCGGAGCGTCCTGGTTCTGGAAACACAGCCAGTCCGATCATGTACTGAAAGCATCCATGATGTTCATTTGCGTAGCCACGCCCCGTTTGTCTAAATATTAATGAGTGTGTCAGTGCGCTGAACAGCTCGACAGTGACGTAACGGAGGTGGTTTGGCAAATCTCGTGCGGAGCCACGTGTTTAGATGGTAATGGCTGACAGTCCACGTGAGCGGTGCATTTGGTGCTAGTATGATGTTTTTAATTGCTGTTGTAAATATTAAAGCAAGTGAAGAAAGCACAAACTCAACCGTAGTCGATGTCAAAATAGCTTTTTAAAGTAAATTTACATGTAACCTACATCTGTGACCAAAGGAAAAGGCTATTCACATTTGGCTTTGATTGTGATTAAAGAAAGCATAAAAAACAATCATATCAAATTACAGTGGCATGAAGACACCAAGCACACGCGCGCGCGCACGCACACACACACATACACACACACACACACACATATATATATATATACACACACAAATGGGAGGACAGAAAGTCTTTCACTCTACAACGAGGTAAACGACCTCATTCACTCTTTGATTTACAAGACAAGTCAGAAAAGACCGAATTACTGCCTGTGCAAGATGGTTTATCAATACGGAACTCTAAAGAGGGAGTTTAGGAGGAGCACATAAAGATAGCATTGGTACAGCGGCGCTGATATAAATCTGCGCTAACCTCACCACTGTGACACAGCAATTCAAATGAATTAATCTTTCATCTAATTCAAACGTCGTTAATCATAAACAAAAATATCACTCACACTACTGACTCTGTCACAAGTGAAATTCTTATTATATAACCTATGTCATGTCATATTTTGGAGTCCAGTCAGAGCGAACGGGTTACATTAAAGAGCACTGCAGGTCTATTGGTATAGAACTGATTTTACACCAATAAAGAACGGTGTGGTCTGTGGTCGACACGTTTCCGCTGCATATCGGAGCACAGCACGCGAGGGGCCGGTTACAACTAGCCGCATTCAGGAAAGACGGACTTTAATACCAATACGGAAAATTATTTTTAGTTAAAAGAGCACCCTACTATGGACCTGTCAAGTCCAGGTCAACGTTCACGTATCCCTAAAATGTGAATAGGCCAAATATTACCCACAGCACCAGTGGACCTAATTGATATGGTTCCAAGATTCTTTAACTAGACTATTAATTTACACCCGAATAGGCAGGCTAATGATGAATTGTTCTGACAGATAAACACAATCAGTAATTAATTTTGTGATCATTACTCGCATGATATTTCATGGGGTTTCTCGTAGCTGACATGTTTTTTTTTTTTTTTTTCTTGTAAAACGCCGTCTTCATAGTGAAACAGCTGATGAGTGCCTTTAAGAGACTACAGCGACGTCGCGAGACCTCCATTGTTCTACCGTATTCCCGTACGGTCTGAACGCAACCTAGGAGACAGTGGATGTGTGCGGCAGCATGTGAGACGGGCGGGTGGAGGCGTGGTCGCTCCCCGACAGCACATGTTCTCTGCTGGGGCGGTGTTGAAGAGTGCCGTGAGGCTCCCGTGTGTGTCGAGCGCACCACACTGCAGCTCCGCCGTCTCTGACAAACAGCAGAGATAGAGACGCAAATGGTTGCCTGGTTACGTAAGAATGTAATTCGCACATCCTCTGAACGTCTCAACTTAGGAAGTCTCGCGCTTTGTCTATGTGGACATTTATTAGACTGCTTACATGCCTTTGGTCATGTTTACTGAAGAGTGGCACTGTATGTATATGTGTACAGTTTGAAACTGAAAGCTTCGTGTGATGTGATATGCATAAAATTGGAAATAAAAAAAAAAAAAATCAGATTTTCACTCTTACCTTGGATGTAATCTAATTCACGACTCCAATATGGATGAGCAGTGAACACTGATGGTTGTGTTCAACATTCAGGGATTAACATGGGCTACATCATGTCTGATATTGTCAGAAATGTTTGTTTCCTATCCCTCTTTTAGTTTCCTCTGCTTTGATGCACAAAAGCTCCTATTTGACAATAAGTGACACAAATACCAAAATTGTGTTTCCATTTGCTAAACAGCAAAGTCCAAATGATGCTGATTCTCAAACCACATGCTGGTATCTAAGAAAACACTAACAGAAAACACCTCACTCAAGACAAAAATCAGCATTATTTTTTCAATAGTGTATGAGATGGGAACTTCAAACCTGCAGCCATTTAATGGTGATGCACAAAACTGAAGATAAAACTTCAAAAATATTTTAGGAAGTCTGTTTACTGCTCCAGATATTTTCTCTTATTTACATTAAGCCAGACATTTTACTGTTATATTATCCCTGGTCAGACACTTTGGATAAAAGTATCCAACCTTGACTGCAGTGATGTCATCATCCCAGACCATGACCCCTGAGTGTGAACTACACGTGAGATGTTTTTACATTTTCCAAAACCACACAAAAATACATAAATGTCCCTTTCAATGTGAATAGAGACCATTTATAGTCTAAATGCAGCGGGAAACACCTGGAACGTTGCACCGCACTCTGATGGAACTTCACATTCTCCACAAAAGTGTAATAAAGTTTTGTCACCACCTTTCATTAACACACCCATCCAACACAGTTGCTTTTCCTGCTCTCAAACATTAGGTAACCAGCCTGATGTGTTCTTTATATGGGACTGCAGATACTTGCAGAGGTACAAAATCACCTTACACAGTGGATGAGCCAAAACAAGGACACATTTGTGAGCAGAGGACTGGGGAGGAATATAAACCCAGTGTCTGTACATGTGTTCAATGATCTGCAAAACCAATGTATACATGATCAGTACATACAGAATATTAGTGTCTGTGTTCAGATTTTAGCCCAAAGTAGCTTTGGAAAGACACCTGGGCTATTATTATGCCAATCTGTGGCTGTGGCTGTAGTTACAGTAACAGCAGAGAAACACATCAGCAAGGCTAAAGGCTTAAGTGTGGCAGGCAACAACCAGCTTATAAGATCTGCTCTCTGTGATCTCGGGCTGCTGGTAACATCTGCCTCATACAGTTAGGACAGATGAATTAACAGTGTCAAGGTGGGAAAACTGCCCAGCTGAGGGCTAGACTAACAAAACCTTTCCTGTCTCAAGGTAAACAGTTATTTACCTACCGCTACTTTGATATGCTTTATACTAACAAGTGTTTGGTATCTGTATTACTAATGACACCAAGTGGAGGAACAGAGCTTTGGCACCTTACAGAGCAGAGATGAAAAGAATCAGGACACCATGATGTATTAAGACAGTTAAAAAGATATATTGAATCATTGTCTTTCAGAATTACATTCATAGACAAGTAGAAATGAACAGTTTAATAGAATAATGTAACTGAAAAACATACATTTCTTTCAACGATTATGAATTTCCTTAATTTGAGACCATTTGTGAAGTATGTTCAGGGTAGAGGAAAGATGAGGGAAAACAGCAAGTTGAGAAGTAAATCTACAAGATAAACAAGACAAAAATAAAAATAACGGAAATTTTTTAAAAACAGCATATGCGGTAGAAGGCTCTGTGAGCAACGGGAAGTTGAGCAAGTTTTCTGCTCCAGCTCTTTATTATGAGTGACACAACAGTGTAGCACCAACAATATGTTGGGTGCGTTTTCATGTACAGTATAACACCCAGCATTGCAATTCTCAACGGTGCACCCCAACTGGTTACCATTTAATGTTGTTAATAACAGATGGGAAGAACTGAAAATAACAAAAAGACACCTTTTCCAAGTACACATTGCACTCAAAAACAAAATCTAACAATGGACCATGTTCATGATATACACACCTCGCTGGATTTTTTTTTTTTTTTAGCTGTTCAATCAAATCTAGTGGTACGTTCAAGTCTGAAAAGCAGCAACAGTTTGGATGCACTGGAGCATTCTAAGTATTAAAAAAAAAAAGATGACGGATAGTCAGTGGCCAGGAGGACTCAAACTTGTAAAATCTCCAGCAAGTTAAGTTTAGCATGGTGATTTATTATTTGAGGAAAGACGGCTTTCACAGGAAGGCTACAAAGATAAGATATATCATAGGTATGAGTGTATTAGCTTTGAATGCAAAAAGAGGGTGACATTCCCAATATTAGCATCTTCTCTGAAAGTGATACGAAATCAGTTTGGTGCTTGGGCTAGTTATACTTAAAAAACTTTCAATAGTGGTGCCCATATAACACCAAAGTTTCAGTACAGATGCCAAAATGATAGTCTCTGACATGGTGATACATTACTTTGAGTGTTTGAACATCTGTTTATCGTTCAGTAAAAAAACAAACAAAGCCAAAGTTCTCAAATGTTAAATGATGCTGTTGAAACATTAGAAGCTATACAAGAATGTTGTTGAAATTAAATAATCTAAAACTGGCAAAATGTAGAAACTATTCAGTCAAAAAAATCAACAGTACTTTTAGTATCTGACAGTTTTTCATATTCATATGATTTCCATAACAGGCACAATTTGGTGAGGTGACACCAATCCAGGAAACTTTCAGCTACATTATGAACATGGGCCATCTGAATAAAATGAGGTCTGCTTTATATCATTGAGTGCTTACTGAGCCTCTTAAATCACATCGCTGGTGTGTATTTTGCTGATCAAGATGATCAAACGTGTTCAAATTAAAAAAAAAAAAAAAACAAGAAAAAAAAAAAGTTTAAATAACAAACACCTTGTGCATTAACATATTCCCAATTCCCATTAATTGCTGTGTCGCACTTGATGAAGATCAGTCTGAGGTGAAGTCATATACAAGTGACTTGTTTTCATTGCATACAGTTTAAAAAGGACAGCCTCTCTGTGGGCCTCTTGTGTTCCGCTTTAGTAAAGCTTTTCTCCATGAAGACACTTTGATCATCATGTGTTATAAATTCATCTGTTGTTCCTGATGCATGTTGGGTAAGTGTTGTATAAAAACACAGAGTTTGGGTTGGATGCCCACATTTTCTCACCTAACCCTAACAAACAAAAATAAATGACAAAAATAAACAACAAACAAAAGAAACAAAAACTCACTAAAAACAAAAACAAAAAAAAAAAATCGACACACACCTAACAGAAAAACACCCAACAAACTGCCACACTTCTTCCTCCCTCATATACGTCTTATCACCAGTGGTAACAGCTAATTCTGAAGAAGAGCACTTTGAAACATCTTGAAAGAGCTATATGGCTTCTCATAAGACCATAAAAAGGACAATGTTAAAAATTACCGATGGTTTACAGTCTGGAAAAAGCAGCAGCAGCTGTTTATAGGCCATCCAGAGGTGCTACAGGCAGAGTCCTGATTGTGTTGATGAGTTGTGCTGACTATGTGAAGTACTGAAGTCCAGTCTGATACAGTACAGCCAGGGTGGCCAGACTTTGTCTGTAGTGTGGATGGAGGGGGTTTCTATAGAGAAATATGGCCACCAGCTGAGGCACTTAGATCCTGCCAGGACTAAACACTCATTACAGATGGACGTTCTGGCCATAGTGTTCATGCCTCTTGTGTTTTTGTTTGTGCGTGCACGTGTGTGTGTGTGTGTATGTGTGTATGTGTGTGTGTGTGTGTGTGTGTGTGTGTGTGTGTGTCCGTCTGTCTATCTGAGATGCTATCACTCTCTTATGCTGGCAGAATAGGAGAACTGGGGGAAATGTGCTTGCTGGCCAGGATCCTCACAGTCCAGACTATTATCTGTGAGAACAAGACAGCAAAAGTCAGTTGTCACATTCAGACCATGAAACCAGAACTTGATCCTGGACAGTGGTGGATCAGGCTGTGTCAGTGTCGCCTCCCAGACATGAAGGTTCTACCACAGTTAGAGGATACTTACACTTGTCTGGTGGAGTGAGAGTGATGGTCTGCGCTGTGAACTCTTCATCAAAGTACCGAGTGTCTGTCTCTGATGTCACTTGTGGTCTGAAGAGGGGGGTGAGCTAAGACAGAAAAGATTGGTAAAATGGCCATTTAATTGGGACCATACTGGATTTAGTAACTTATAGACAGGGGTCTGTGATGGAAGCTGCATTGTTCATATACAGTGGCAAGAAAATGAATGTGAACTCTTTGGAATGACCTGGTATTCTGCATGGACTTCTCATAAAATATGATCTGATCTTCATCTAGGTCAAAAATGTAGACAAACACAGTATCCCTAAGCTAAAATAACATGTACAATTATAATCTTTTGTGTCTTTATTGAACACAGCCATTAAACATTCACATTGCTGGTGCAAGAAGTAAGTGAACCTTTGGATTTAATAACTGGTTGAACCTCATTTGGCAGCAATAACCTCAAACAAGAGCTTCCAGTAGCTCCTGATCAGACCTGCACAACATTCAGGAGGAATTTCGGACCATTCTTTTTTTAATAAGTCAAAATAGCTCTAACCCACCCCCAGTACCATCCCAGTGGTGTAGCATGGTGGTGGCAACATCAAACTGATGGGACAGGGAGACTCGTCAGGGTTTAGGGAAAGCTGAACAGAGGAAATAACAGAGATTTCTCAGAGCGCTCAGGACCTCAGACTGGGCCAAAGGTTCACCATCCATTATGACAATGACCCTAAGCACACAGCCAAGACATCACAGCAGTGGTTTAGGGACAACTCTGGGAATGTCCTTGAGTGGCCCAGCCAGAACTCTGACTTCAACCCAATTCCACATCTCTGGAGAGACCTGAAAATGGTGTCCATTAACGGTCCTCATCCAACCTGACAGAGGTGGAGAGTGGTAGAAAATCCCCAAGGTTAGGTGTGAAAAGATTGTTGCGTCATACAAGACAAGCTGTAATAGCAGCCAAAGGTGATTCAACTAAGTACTGAGTAAAGTAAGTGGTGTGCCGTCAAGGCAAGCAGGGTAAGCAGTGCTTGCCCACCTAAAGCTAAAAACAGAACGATACTGATGTGGAAGCGATATATCTCTTTACATCTGCAGCAGGGTATTGTCTTTGAAAGCTAGCTTGACTTCCAGCTGTTGTATCTATTGTTTTTGTCATTTTCATGCATGTGACCGTGTCCCATTGACAAAGGTTGAAGCTTGTCAAGCAGAGAACAGCAGCCTATCTTGGATCCTGTGATCTTTGATGGATGACTAGCGAAAGCCAAAGTGTGCTTGTCAAGCTGTCCTTGACTCAGCTTTTGACTCAGCTTCTACCGTTCTGAGATCAGTTATGATATTGGACGCATTACACGCATGTGCATTGCGCAGATGTTTGTGGAAACTAATCTTGCGCATTAAGCGTTAAGAGGCAGCAGTAGCAAGTAATTGTATTAATAATGAAACTGATTAATCATCTCTGTGCAAGATCTGCAGTAAGTTTGAGACAATATTGTTACAGAAGTAGCACAGCTCCTTTCAGGAATAGCTCAGTATGTAGGTTGTGTGTGTAGCGGGTGAGAAAGAAATAGAGAGACTGCTCAGCTGTGCATGCCTATCTGTAAGTCACTGCACACCACTGAGTAAAGTGCCTGAATACTTATGTCAATGTGAGTGTTCAGTTTTTGCTTTTTAATAAATTTGCTAATATTTCTAAAATTCTGTTTTGGCTTTGTCTTTATTTTAGCATAAGACAAGACATGAAGTGATGAGGTTACACAAAAAGTACTGAACCAATTTGCACCAAACTTGATGAAGAGTTGGGGCATGGGCCAAGAAAAAACCAATTAAATTTTAGTGCAGATTTAGTTAGAGGAGCAGATCTGGGGATTTTTTTTTGGCAATCACTTTCCTTCACATTGTGAGGTAGGGTATTGTTTGGTCTTGGCGGAGGTGTGTGCTCTACTGAGTGCCAATCTAGTGTCTCTAGAAAACTTTACACCATTGTTGTTTAGAGACTGCTGGCTCCAACTAAGCCTTTGGAATTCAGGATGCTTTTTTTCAATTCTTAACATAAATTGAGATTCAGCAGCCCATTTCACAACCCTAAGACCATCTTCTCTACATGGGGCTGGTGAAAGTTGGACTTGATAATTATGTAACCTTGATGACAAGAGTCTGAAATCAGAGATATGAAGGCTGACTAAGCAGTTAGACTGGATCAGCAAAACCTGCAAACCTCAGTCTGACGTCTTCCAGCCTCAGAATGTCTTACCTTCTTCTGTACCACATCCTGCCAGTTGATGATGATGAAAAATTTGTGACTCATTACATCTTTGGCATCGTTGGGCCCTCCGCCTAACCTGTCAGTACAGACAAGATCATGTAAGAATTACGTGGGTATTTCCAAAAAGAAACTACATCCAGGATCAGTCCGGTTAAACACCTCTGTTTGGGATCCTTCTTGAGCAGGCCAGCCAGCAGGGACTTGGCCTCGGGTGACAGGTTCCGGGGGAAGCGGATCTCCTCCATGAGGATGAGCTCAAACAAACGTTCATGGTCCTGGTTGTAGAAAGGCAGACGCCCACACATCATCTCATACATGACTACACCCAGACCCCACCAGTCCACTGCCCGGCCATAGTCATTATCTTCTAGGACCTGAGGAAGAACAGACATTTGCCTAATTAATGGCAACAATGGCAGCAGGAAGTGACTTTGAATTTGCAGCCTTGTTCATGCATAATTGGTACACATCACTTAACTCCACACTTTTCTGACCTAAATCTATATTTTTCTTTTCAGTTTTGCATGATGACTTCCTGAGAGCAAAATCGATTTCCCAAAGACCCATTCAGGGAGCTGGACAAGCTGGATCCTCCACCTGGATTCTTTCATTTGAATACAGATAAGCTTAAAAAAACCACAGAGCTGGAAAAAAAAGAGACTCGACTGAACTGAATTTTATTAAAATGTAAAAAAAATTCGAAGAAAATATAATTAAAGAGGAAATACAAGGACAAAACTATTGTGTACTTTAGAGAGTTAAGAGATGTGTGAACTTTTTCCACTTCATCCTGAAAATCTTCTTGGTTGCTTGGTCATACACTAGGGATCATTGTCCTCCTGAATGGTGAAATGTCTTCCAATGAGTTTTCATCATCATTAATCATCCATAAATGCCAGTGTGCCAGTTCAATTGGAGCTGTACATGCCTGAGCTATAATAGAACCACCATATTTGACAGATAATGTGGTCCTGTTCCTTTATTTCTTCACTTTCCTCTTTCCATCATTTTGATAGAGGCTTTTTTGTTTCTTAAGTTCATAGAACTTTGTTCCACAACTCTCTCTTTTTCTGTGTTTTAGTGAACTGCAGCCTGGCCTTTCTGTGTTACCAGAGATTTACCAGGGGTTTCAATCTTGTGGTGAATCCTCTGAGGTTTTGGTCATGAAGTCTTCCCCTGATCATTGACAAGGAACCATATAGACCATGGTACTCTATCAATTATCAATCAACTCCAAGGCATGTGTGAGCTCTGCTACCACTGCTGTTGTCCAGTTACCTTTGAACCCTTGCAATTCGGACACCATGTCTTAAAAGACGTATAGACGAGTGACAAAGGAAAAAGCAACGTAAAGTATCTTATTAAGGTGTTGGGCCACCACCTGCTGCCAGAGCAGCTTCAATGCTCCTTAGTATTGATTCTGCAGGTCTCTGAACTCTACTGGAGGATAATCCCATAGGTGTTCAACTGGGTTGAGATCTGGTGAACGTGAAGGCCACAGCATATGATTTACATCATTTTCATCCTCATCAAACCATTCGGTCAGAGGGAGGTATGTGTAGCTCCAGCTTAATGTGCAGTGTGATTCTTAGCAGTGACTTTGAGGTGATTAATAAATACATGCACTGGTCAAGACCATCTGTTTAAATGCTCCACTTTCTTAATCACACACATACCCAAAAAACAAAATAGAGCAGAACAACAAGTGTCTCTCATCAATCGCAGCTGTCTGTAATGCGTGTGAACATGTGGATAATGTATCATACAGCAGATTGTGGTGGTAAAGATGTGGACACATTAAATGTGTAGGAAAATAGGACTGCTTGTGTAGAGGTCAGCTGTGTTTAACATGTGCCACCCAGTCAGTTTCAGTGCCTTACCTCAGGTGCTAGATATTCAGGCGTTCCACAGAAGGTTTTCATGGTAGCATCTGGAGTAATGCCCTCCTTACAAAGGCCAAAATCCGTGATTTTGATGTGGCCATCTTTGTCCAGCATAAGATTCTCCAGCTGAGATGGAACAAAATACACATCAAATCTGATTCTGATGATCATGGATATGATGATAGATTTAATCAGGAGAACATAATAGATCATTTGAGTTGTTGATCAATACTCAGTCAAGAATTCAAAAATGTTTACCACCCTTCCCCCTGGCTTACTCAGAAACAGAGGTGGGTAGTAATGGAGTATATTCATTCCATTACATGTAGGCAAATAAGTTTTTAGAAAAGATCAGATACACAGGCTTTTTACTCTACATTAAACTCATGTAAACATTGGCATTAGATTGGACTCGCTATCAGCAGTACCCAATATTAAAGGACTCAGATTGGAATCAGGGCCTTAAAAACTCTCGTCCTGGTAAGGCAATCTAAAATCACCAATTATCAAGCAGTCATGTTCTGTGACTTAATGATTTATTGATTTATTTATTGATTTTTATGGATATGATATTTCATATATTTTCAGAACTGATGGATATAATCAATATTCACCTTCAGATCCCTGTAAACGACATCACGTGAATGCAGGTATTCGAGAGCTGACACAATCTCGGCACCGTAGAAGCGTGCCCGGTCTTCTGTGAAGACTCGTTCCCGTGACAGGTGGAAGAAGAGCTGAAAGAGGCAAGAGCAGGTGGAGAGCACTTGCCCATTACAAAAAATCTGTGTGTGCGGGGCAAGTTGTTTGTGTTAACACAAACTGATATTAGTATATCTCCACGTGACTGGGACGTGTGAATGTGATCTCACCTCGCCTCCGTTGGCATATTCCATTACAAAACAGAGTCGATCATTGGTTTGGAAAGCATATTTCAGTGTCTGCAGGAAGAAAATGAAGACATTAGGAAAATATATCTGAGGGGCCAAAAATACAGTGAAATAAAGTGCTTCAAAAGAGGCACATGATCAGGCATGATGAACATCCTTTGAAAGATACCTCCAATCTCACTAACATGATTTGACAGTGTTTTTAAAAGCTTTTGCGAACTGGTGGTTAAATTCCTGCTGTAAAGACAAATACTGAGCTGAATACTGGCTGCTTACATCCAATCAGTCAAGGAGCCTGCATGTAAAACCTAATACTGTCAGTCAAACAATAGTTAGTTTTTTTTTTTTTGGAGACATCATCATATACAAAGCGACACAGGAAAACAGCATGGCGCAAAGCTTTCAAAGTTTTATCTCAAAATTAACTATCTGCTGTTGAAATAGAGAAAGGTGATGGAAAACAAGAGCAGAGTATTTGCCACAGTTGTATGTAATGGGTACTGATGAAAAACATGATCAAGTAATAATGCTGAATATTTTCAAACTTAATGAAAAATTAGATGAATGCAGGAACAACAGGCACATAACAAAATAAAATCAAGTGGAATATTCAGCCACAACTGAGTCAACTTAGTTAGTTCTGTTTTAGGTATCACCCTAAAAACAAAACACTTAAAATACACACAAATAATAATGAATTTAGCTTTATATCATCCAAATTTCAATCATGTGCAACAGGTTTGTATAAAGACTCTGCAACAAACACTGTGGTGCTTTGAGCTTAAGGCTAACGTCAGCATATTAAACATGCTCACAGCGTCAATGATAACATTCTAATGTTAAGCAGGCATAATGATCGCTATCTTAGCATAGCATGTCAAGATGCTACTATTTGCCATTTAGTACTGCACATAAAGTAGAGCTGAGGGTGATGGGAGTACTTTGGGGGGTATATGTCATAAATCAAAGCCTTGGACAAACTAACATTTTGACCCGATGATGGCGCTGGATTAAATGTCAGGATCACTAAAGTTAGTTAGTTCATCCTGAGAAGAACATGAATGTCTGAATCAAATTTCATGGCAATTCATCAAAGAGATGTTGAGACACACTCACGCAGCACTTTATTAGGAATACCATACTAATAGTTGTGTAGGGCCTCCCTTTGCTATCAAACAGCCTCAGTTCTTTGAGATTGTGCTCCATGTTGACATAATTGCCTCAGATCATTTCTGTAGATTTGTCAGCTGCACATTCATGCTGCCAATGTTCTGTTCTGCCACACCCAAAGGTGTTCTATTGGATTCAGGTCTGGAGACTGGGGAGGCCACTGAAGTTCACTGAACTTACTGTCATGTTCATGAAACCAACGACTTTTGCTTTGTGACATGGAGCATTATCCTGCTGGAAGTAACCATTAGGAGATGGTAAACTTGGACATAAAGGGAAGCACTTGGTCAGCAACACTACTCAGATGGACTGGGCCCTTAATGAAAATCAATCATGGTTTGAATGTTACAAACTCTGAAAACATTCCTGGCACCATTACACTACCACAATCAGCCTGGACTGTTGGAACAATGCAGGTTGGGTCCATGGATTGATGCTGTTGATGCCAAACTCTGACCCTTCCATCTGCTGCCTCAGCAGAAATCTAGATCCATCAGACCAGGCTACATTTTTCCAGTCTTCAACTGTGCAGTGTTGGAGAGCCTGTGTCCATTCTCCTCTGACCTCTCTCATCAAGGTGTTTCCTCCACAGAGCTGCTGTTCATTGGATGATTTTGGTTTTTGGCTCCATTCTGAGTTAAAACTCTAGAGACTGTTGTGTGTGAAAATCAGCAGTTGATCAGCAGGATTTTATGCATGCACATGATTGGCTGATTGGATAATTACATGAATAAGCAGGTATTCCAAATGAAATGTTCTGAGAGTTTATTTCAGTCTGGATCAAAAGTGGTGGACCGCCCAATACTGGTGTCCCTAGAATTACTGTACGCTGCTAACGTGGCTAAAACTGACTATATGCAAATGAATACACTATTTGTGCTGATAAGCATTCAGTGTTGAGCCAAATGGTGAAATCATCCATGAGGAGCTCAGCACTGAGAGCTTCTGACTGACCCATGGACAATTTGGCTCATGAAAAAGAACATTTTAAGTGAGTGCAGGCAGCTTTACATGAGAAAAGAGGTGTTCTCACCGTGAGGAAGGGGTGTCGTGTGTTTTGTAACACTCTGCTCTCTGTAACTGTGTGGGCCACCTCATCCTGCAAACAAACACAAGACTGAAGACTGAAAACATGCAATATAATATGTAAAGCTTTACTTAAATCAGCAACAGGCATTAAGACTGTAACATTGGGGTTTGACATAATTTTTGTTTCCAAATGTTCAAGAATTTAGATATGTATACAGTGGTCTCTCATTTTATTCTGCCACTTGTCCCTGAGTCAGCAACAGCCTAGCGAGGCATCATTACCTTTATTACCATTTATCGGCAGCTGACATCTGTGAAGTGGAACTCATGAAATCTCCTCTGGGATGCCCACTTACCTTTACAACAGTTGTCATAATCCCAAAATACAGTGCTCTTCACAGCAGAATGCTGATGGCAATGGTGGTGAAGACAAAAAATCCTATAATCTCCTGCTACTTCACAACGTCACTCAACATTGTCTTTTGCTATTGTTTTGATTGAGAGACCCCTAGCAGCAGAAATTACACACTCAAATTAAGCATGCTTTTGCTCAGGTTTATAAGGGTATTGTCTTCTGCTGCGGCTCAAATTGCCGTGAGCTGGAATGAGCAAGAAACACGAAACTGCCACATGGTGGTGCTGTAATTAAGGCTCAAAAAGGCTCAAAAAAGTGCCCCTCACACCATTTGTCTGATTGACTTCAAATTTGACACTCACAAGTTTAGCAACACCAAATTTGACAGATAGCCTTGGGGGACTGACAGACAAATCTCTGTTAAAAATAAGCAAGATTGATAAAAAAAACAAAACGAAACATGGCCGTCATAACTTAACAGGGCTTTTATTGCTGTGCATAGTATCTCATTTCCAGTTGCTGGTATTTCTGTTAACATGCTATTCAGATCTACTATATTCTTTAGTAGTTCCCTGAAGTTCCTGGCCAGGAAACCAGAGCGGTTCTGTCGATTGCCGATAACAAGAGGTGTAGCCCTAAGCCCCCAGTCGGCATCCATACACCATCCAGTTATATACAAGATTTATACCCAGTCTCTAAATCTAGTGACAATGTGCTAAGTTGGCAACACTTCAGGCTGTAAATATCCACCCAACAGAACCTGTGTTCACCAGAAGCTCCAACTTAGTGACCAGGCATTTGGCTGACCAGTGGTGGAAATATGATCACTCAGTCAGTCAGCCAGCCAGGCAGTGATATTCCAAATTATAGAGCCTGCCCCGCTGTTGCAGTCCTGACAAAATTATTATAATATCGTAGGGATATATCTATGAGAGATATATCTATATCTGTCTCATATGTAGAAGACTTAAGTAATTTAATAAAATGTATTAAGTGTATTTTATCATAATTTGAATGAATTCTTGGAAGCTGAAACAGCAAGAGACCACCAGGAGGTGATAGCTGTATCTAATGAAGACAGATGTAGAAGAGGAGAGGGAGGACAGCAGCCAACATGCTGCTGTGGGAAAACCAGCTAGGGCAGAAGCAACAGGTGAGACTGACAGCAAACAGAGATGGACCTGTATATGTTGCTGTATATTTGTCATGTACTTGGCAACAAGTATTTGCAATGGAGCACCTTATATATGCTATTATTTAATAACAGCGCCACAAACAGAATCGAAATCTGTGGGAAACTGTTTTTTTTCACCGTGTTTTTAAAACTTATTTTGAAGCTGCGCTCACTCTGTAATCCCCATGCTCTGTATAGCTGCAGTGTTTCTGGTTTAACAGCACCGTGCTGGACAGGTGACAGGTCTGTCTACACTGTCTGTGCTCTGTAATATCGTGTGTATCTGGAAAAACTACATAGACACAATGCTTTTTGTTTAGAAATCTGTTTTTTATTTTATGTTTTTTCTTATTGGTAGTGCTTGATATCAACTTTACTATAAACAAGTGTGCTGCCAGGGTTGATGTGTTGTACTGCTTGAACAGTAGGGTTTCTAAAACGTTAAATTAAAAAAATGGTTTGTGAAATTATGATTATGATGAGTGGGTGTCTGTCACAGAAAATATTGGCTTGAGTATCTAATCTATATCTATCTATACTGCTCAAAAATATTAAGGGAACACTTAAATCACACATCAGATATTGATGAACGAATTATTCAAGTTGAAAATCTTTACTGATGTAATAATAATAATATTATATACAGTGGAGGAAATAATTATTTGATCCCGTGCTGATTTTGTAAGTTTACACCCTTACAAAGACATGAACAGTCCATAATTTTTATGGTAGGTTTATTTTAACAGAGAGAGACAGAATATCAACAAAAAAATCCAGAAAAAAACATTAAATAAAGGTTATAAATTAATTTGTATTTGATTGATATGATACAGATGTCTCTGTTACAATAAACCTACCATAAAAATTATGGAGGTAAACTTACAAAATCAGCAGGGGATCAAAAAATGATTTCCTCCACTGTATATATATAGAATTTGTTGAGAACAAAATGACATAACAACAGTCAATGGAAACCAAAATCATCAACCCACTGAGGGACGTATTTACGATCACACAAAAAGGCTTATCCAACTTGAATTTCATCACGGCAACTCATAATGTGACTCAGTAGTGTGTATGGCCCCCACGTGCCTGTATGCACTCCCGACAACGTCTGTGCATGCTCCTGATGAGTCGGCTAATGATGTCTTGGGGCATCTCCTCCCAGACCTGGATCAGGGCATCAGTGAGCTCCTGAACAGTCTGTGGTGGTACTTGGCGACGTTGGACGCACCGCTACATAACATCCCATTGGTGTTCAATTGGATTTAGGTCATGGGAACGTGAGGGCCAATCAATGGCATCAATGCCTTCGTCATCCAGGAACTGCCTACACACGAGGCCGGGCATTGTCCTGCACCAGGAGGAACCCAGGGCCCACTGCACCAGCTTAAGGTCTGACAATCGCTCTGAGGATTTCATCCTGGTACCTAACAGCAGTGAGGGTACCGTTGGCTATGATATGGAGGTCTGTGCAATCCTCCAAGGATATGCCCCCCCAGACCATCACTGACCCACCACCAAACCGGTCATGCTGGATGATGTTACAGGCAGCTTAACATTCACCACAGCGTCTCCAGACTGACTCATCTGTGAAGAGAATGGGGCACCAATGGTGGACCTGCCAATTCTGGTGTTCTCTGGCGAATGCCAATTGAGCTGCATGGTGCTGGGCTGTGAGCACAGGTCCCGCTAGAGGACTTGGACCCTCATGCCACCCTTATGGAGTCTATTTCTGACAGTGTGGTCAGAAACATGCGCACCAGTAGCCTTCTGGAGGTTATTTTGTAGGGCTCTGGCAGTGCTCCTCCTGTTCCTCCTCACACAAAGGAGTGGGTAATGGTCCTGCTGCTGGATTAATGTCCTTCTATGGCCCTGTCCAGCTCTCCTCGTGTAACAGCCGGTCTCCTGATATCTCCTCCATGCTCTTGAGACACAGCAAACCTTCTTGCGACCGCAAGTATGAATGTGCCACCCTGGAGGAACTGGACTACCTGTGCAACCTGATTGGGCTGCAGGTACCGCCTCATGATACCAGTAGTGACAAGGACACTAGCAAAACACAAAACTAAAGAAGAATCAGTCAGGAAGGATTAGGAGAGAGCAATTGTCTTTGGCCACCACATGCAAAACCATTCCCCTTTTGGGGGTTGTCTTGCTTTTGCCTCTCCATTGGACGTGTTGTCACTTTCATTTGCATCAAAGCAGATGAAATTGATTCACAATCACTTGTGCTTCCTAAATGGACAGATTGATATCCCTGAAGTTCAATTGAGTTGGTGTTACACTGTGATGATTAAGTGTTCCCTTAATTTGTTTTGAGCAGTGTATATTGTATTGTACTTAAAGTTCAAGAAAGTCCACTGTTAAAAAAGACAAAGTTTTATGAAAAGTAAAAAAAAAAAAACATTGTGTTAAATAATCGTGATCACAATATTGATCAAAATAATCATTTTTGCCATAATCTAGCAGCCGTATAAATAATTGCACATTACACACGTTTTGTCTTTTGTTGCACAAAACAGTTGAAATTTATTGTGTTACTGCACTGAGTGATAAAAATAGTACTTTTTTTTTTTTTTTATAAACTAACCGATGCTTTAATTCAACACCAAAAACAAATTTGATGAGGTATTTAATAAACATATTTGGAACCCATTTCAGATTCAATAAAATGCCACTGAACCCATCCCTACAACATTTTTAAGTTAAGGAAACAAAGAACACTTTGTTTAGGCTAGGGAGTTTGGTCATGGTAAATAGTATATTAAACATACTGAAAATACTGTTTTGTAGTCTGAGATAATATCCCCATACTGGAAATCAGGCCACTGAAGGTATTGAGGTGCCAAGCAAAATGAGGCGAGTAACTGCTGTAGCTAAAACAAATTGTTTACACACACGCATGCATGCACAAGCACCTCTTACTCACCTTGGCTATTATGACCTCTTTGCGCAGTATTTTCATGGCATAATGTACTCCGGTGGACTTCTCTTTGACCAGAATCACCTTCCCAAATGTCCCCTTGCCAAGCAGCTTCAGGTACTCAAAGTCACTCATTGTCTGTAAAGTACACAGGTCTGGGGTGTGAGAATTCATTAGTAATGTGGATTTTAACTAGTTGTGTAAAATTGTGCAAAACTTAATTAAAAAACACAAGTTTGAGAAAATAAACCTCCAGACAGAGATGATGTGATCTGATCTTCAACTAAGTCATTAATGAAAAACACAGTGGGCTTTATTTTAACGATCTAAAGCGCATGGTCTGAAGTGCGTGGCACAAGTGCATTTAGGGCATGACCAACAAGATAATATCACACAAACAATTATACTGTTTTGTGTTTATATTGAACACACCCATTAAACATTTTCAGTGCTGGTGGAAACAGTCAGTGAACCATTGGATTTAATAAATGGTTGAACCTCCTTTGGCTTCAATAACCTGAAACCAGCTCTTCCAGTAGCTGCTGATTAGAGCTGCTCAATGATAAGGAGGACGTTTGGACCATTCTTCCTTATAGAGCTGCTACGGCTCAGACATATTCTTAGGATGTTTGGTGTCTTCAACTCAGTCCACAGCATCTGTACTGGATTAAGGTCTGGGCTCTGACTAGACTGGATTTTCTTTGTCTTAAGTCATTCTGTAGTATTTTAGGGTTGTGCCGATGAAAAATGATAGTGATGATCAACGATAATTAGAGTTATCGACAATTGCTCATTCCTTTGCAAATGTCAAAGCAATATTTTAATTGTTTTCTCATTAATGTAATAACTTATTATTTCTAGTATAAAATTAATACTAAATTTCATTTGCATGCCAGTTTCACGTATATAACCACATACAAGTGATGCTTGCAACGTGAACACACGCACACTCCGATCAGCTGATTGTTATGCAGCTGCTTGTTGTGTGTAGGAGCTGCTCTAATTTAATGATCAACAGAGACAGAACATGTCATTTAGTTCAGATTCTTATCCTGCTGCTTTTTATGGTTGTAAATAGAGAGAGAGGATTGGGAAAAGCAAAAATGCATCATTCATAGATGAATGCCTTCATATTCATATATTTCATATCAGAAACAGAGTTGGTGAGATAAAATGTGCTAGAGAACTTTTAAGTTGCAGTAATAGACAGGAAATCTATTTTCTTAATTTTGTCAAGTACCGAGAGCTGAACGTATGACTTAGCTTATCATTACTACAGCCTTTAAAAATGTAGTCCTTGGGCACATTTAATACCAGGTTTTTGTGCCCATCCCTACCTCCACACTGCCTCACCCAGAGCGCTGCCCCGCCTCTCACACTCAGGGCCAGAGAGGGAGATGGGGGTATCAATTATAGTATATATGTATAATATCTATAATATATATAATAATCAAACCTCATGAACACACAAATGGCATTAATCAGGTTGAAATAAGCAATTCAGAATGTTTGTTGGAACACTCATCTGAGCAAACCTCACAGAAGGAAGTAAAAGAGGTTTAGGAGAGCAATACAAAATTGGTCTTATATGAGGCTCGACGTCTGGCCAATTCTCTAAAAGTATCTCTATAAGGCATGCAAGACAATACAGACATTATGACGCAGTCAACTGACCCAATGTTCTGCATTGCTGGCTACACAGTACCGAGGTGAAAATCTCCTAATAAAAATACATTTCTTTGTTAATATGTAACTTTTCCTCATTAAAATGTCTAAAAAATTTTAAGAGTTGTGTACTTATATTTTCCAGTAATCCGCACACCGAGAGAAATATGTAATTTTAATATGGTAATGCTCTGTGAAATTTTTGCCTGTCAATGATATCATATCCCCTATGCATGGGTAGGTGTTGTAGTTGCCTGCCAGAAGCTCAAACTTGACTTCTAGTTTTAAGCCACATACACATTGGTGGTTTTCAACTATATGTTTTAACAGGCTAGGCAGCTCAGCTCCCAGCCACTGGAGACATTGTGTCCCGTGTCCACCAGAGTGCGTCTGTAAATCACTGTGCATATCAAATTTGCAGAAAAAAGTTGCAGTGATTGGACACAAATGCAAGGCCGCGCAGAATTCACAAGAATTGGTTGCATTTGCGTTAAGTATTGCAATTGCGGCATCGCAACATCTGGAGGGACTGCTTAATGAACTATTACTACTGCGGAAACTATACAGTTAAAACAACAACTCACTGTGCTTCATATAGTGCTCCTCAAAAATGAATACTGCTTCTTTGTTTGTGTTTTCAAATGCCTTCAAAAGGCAAAAGCTAAACATTGCCAACATTTCATTGTATTCATTCAGACTAGAGCTCTTTATCTTCTATGTCCCCAACAACTGATCCTCTCACCACTTTGGCATGGCTCTTGGACATCGCCACCTCCATCTCCTCGAGGCTGCTTTCACTAGGTGAGCCAAACACATCCATCGGCTCCTCTTCCTCATGTTCTCTCATCTTCAGACTATTTGCCACAGACTGGATTGCCCGCATCCACTCCTCTCTGAGAAGCACAAATCCCAGAATTTGTCAGACATTACATGAATGAGGCCTCAAACAGATGAACCAAGTATTGGAGCGCCTCTTACAGATGAAGGCCATTGAATGCCATTTAGGCATCACTTCAAGTGTTTGCACCATAGTGTGACACAATTCTCTTAGACAAAGATAGTAGCTTGCTTGATATTGTATTTTACCCTGTTCTTACCTCTCCTCATTGCTGTCCACATGAAAGGTACGTTCAATGACAGTAGTCCACTGTAGGCAACGGATGACAAATGTGTTGGGCCGGGGTCTTTCTGTCTTCATTAACTGGCATTCTGTGAAATATACAATTAAGATGGACGTTTAAAGGAAACTGTTGAAGACTGGAAAACTGGAGTCTGACCAGTATAACACTTAAAACATCCAACTGATAGTTATCAAGATAAAGCAATGTTCTGAGTTAGATTTGACCATGTGCAGGACAAACCTGCTACTGAGAAGTTGTTGAGGGGTGGTGAAGTCTGGTCGTTTAGATCTGGCTTCTCCTTGTAGCCGATGAAGGAACCGTCACTCTTCAGGATGAAATACCTGGGCCTCCATGTTTTGATATATTCACCTGGGTCAGAAAGAGAAATGAAATTTGAGTACAAGTTTCAATCAATAGGAACATCACTGGCATTTTAACATGAACATTTTAGCTAAATCTGATTGACATCTCAAGTTTATAATTCTAGGTGGGCCTAAACATTACCATTTATAACACTTGTAACGCCAAGCCTTTGTCAGCATATTACCTTACCTCTTTTGTGGAGCCAACCCTCTCTGACTATATTAACTTCATTCATGGTGAGAGATGTGTTTCAAAGAGGGTCAGGAACGAGAGGTCGGGGAGGGGAACAGTGGATTTCTCTTTTGGGCCTGTCTCAGTCACTGTTTCAAATCCAAACAGTAGTACCTAATAAATGAAACGAGCAGTGCAAATTAAACATGGCCATCTTCAAATACTTAAAAAAATAAAAGAAACATTCTAAAAGAGTGACAGAGGAGTTAAGAAAGTCAACAGTGGGTACAGGGGGTAAATTCAGTTCACTTTGTTTCCAGACCAACAGTCTAAAGTTTTATTAAGTTCAATTTAACATTTAAGAATCTTTTAAAATGAACATGAAAATGAATAAACTCTCTTCATAAACTATTCATCAACATAATTCTGTAATGTTGTTTATCTGCATAAATTTGATGCACATGTGAGAAATAACTCCATTCTGGAGAGGTATGGGTAACAATTCCTTTCAGCATACATAAAACGCATTGAAAAAGCAGATAAGAAATCGACATTTGGCTAGCATCGGATCCTGCCGTCACCTTTTTTCACCTTTACACCAATAAAAATATTTAACAGCAATGGCAAACAGTGTAAGTTATTACTGAAAGTAAATGGATGAGTTTCATGTGTGATCTGATCATCCAACAGAGAAGGCTACTGTAGGGAGAAGTGCTACATTTAGAACTAATAACACTAACGTCAAATTCACACATGCAGGAAATGTATGTCTCTACAGTCAGAATTCTGATATTAAATCACAATTCTGAGAAAAAAGTCAAAATTCTGAGAAAAAAGTCGGAATTCTGTGATTAAAATCAAAATTCAAAAAAGAATAAATATTTTTTTCCGCATGTGGTCCTGATCCTATTCCATACTCAAGTAAATTAGAGATAAAGAAAACGTTGAATTATTGATTATTGAATTTTTGTTCTTAATAATTTAAAATAATCTCTCTGTTGTGGTTGGCTGTCGTTATTTAGCTAACACTAACGCTAGCATTAAACGCTAAGAGCAGCTACCGTTAGCTATATGCTACCAGTGATAAATTAACTTTCAATGAACTATGTACGGGAGATTATCCTGAGAACTGTCAATCTAGTCAGTTATTGACCCACCAACATTTGACAATGAATCTATATTTACAGTGGACGAGAACCACCAAAACATCAAATAACGCTTTCGAAATTTCAAATACATGTCATCTAGGGTAGACCTAATTTTGCTAATTAAAGCTTAATATCACGTTTTAAGTTAGTATTTTACGACTAAAAGACACATTGTGCTCTCCGTGCGGCACCTTTACAGGATTGTACCACTGTATTATAATGTTACTAATGACTGCATGATCTATCATAGGTTAAAAATGCATGTTTATTATTTGTAAACGCTCTTACATTTGCGATCATGTGTACCTGCAGGTTACTGATGTAGCTTTGCTAATAGCGAGGTAGTCACACAGCTATTCTTATCAACTGATTTACAGGGCCTTCGGCTTATCTCGTAAACCGATATCTTTTACACTTGATGATATAACAACAAGCTTTAACACACATTTCACTGACTTTATCCCACGTCTCGGTTCAATGCAGTTTTCACAGGCTGGATTAGAGAAGGCCATCCACCCAGGAAAACACCGTGGACGACGACGACGACTTCTTCTTCTTCTTCTTCTTCTTCTTCTTCTGTTTCTTCTTCTTCTTCTTCTGTTGGTGCTGCTGCTTCTTCTTCTTCTTCTTCTTCTTCTTGTTAGTTCTTCTTCTTCTTCTTTTGTTAGTTCTTCTTCTTCTGTTAGTTCTTCTTCTTCTGTTAGTTCTTCTTCTTCTTCTGTTAGTTCTTCTTCTGCTGCTGCTGCTTCTTCATGTTCTTTTTCTTCTTCTTCTTCTTCTTCTTCTTCTGTTAGTTCTTCTTCTTCTTCTTCTTCTGTTAGTTCTTCTTCTGCTGCTTCTTCATGTTCTTTTTCTTCTTCTTCTTGTTCTTCTTGTTCTTCTTCCGGGTAAACTGGGCACGGTTTGCTGCCTCCCATTGGCGAAACATCGTAATTACTACTTTAGCACTGAGTTTTTTTTTCAATACAAGTTTACTGAGACATACACAACAATACAAAAGAATAGTGCAATGATAATCTCCAGGGGGTTACAAACATATAAAGGAAATAGAATATTACAAAGGTATTACAAAAATATATCAAAGAGAGCACACATGGAAATAGTTTTAATAGCTTTCTCATTAGTGGAGTAATTAATGGTTTTTATATATTGTTTGACCTCATTGTTAAAAATAGAAAAGAGTGGTTTTAGGGCAGTGTATCTGCATTTATGGATATGCCATTTTGCCAAATATATGATCAGATTAATTACATAAAAATGTCCTTTTTTTGTTGGTGGATAGTCAATGAAGCCAAATTATACATGTTCAAAGCAAAAGGAAAAGTGTGGTAAAATGCAAGTAGAAATTAAATCACAAATATCCATCCATAAATTGGTGGAAAAGGAGCAAGACCAGAATAAATGAAATATATATATGAAATAAAAATATCTTCAGGGTGTCCTTCACAAAAAGAGCAATTAACATCAATATCTCTTTTGAATCGTTGCAGAAAAATTTTTGTTGGGTAAAATCTATGAATCAATTCAAAGGACACTTCTTTTACTTTATTGTTTATCAAAAATTTAGCTGACAAATTCCAATTTTTTTTCCAATTAAGGTTATTAATAAAGGAGTTCCAATAAGATACCACATAAGGAATTGATACGACATCTTTTTGAAATAAAGAACGTATACGATGATTATTATTTCGTATTGATGAGAAACAAATTTGACCAATTTCAAGTTTGGATGGATCAGTCGGTATTAAAGTTGGATTGTGTCCTGCTGTATTTTTTAATAACATAATTACTCCATCAGGGATTGCATTTATAACAGTATTAAATTCATTAATAGGGATTAAGATACTATATTTCAAAATAAATTCTTCATATGACATTAGTGATCCATCTTGATTAAACAATTGACGAACTAGCAGTATGCCGTGAGAAAACCAAAAGGGGTAATATAAAGATTTTTTTCTGTATACGATGTCTTTATTGTTCCAGATGTAGTATCTGTGTGGGGAAAAGTTATGTTTGTAAATCAAAGACCAGGAAAGAAGCATCTGTTTATGAAAGTAAGATAAATTTGGGGGGATTTTTTCAACATCATAATTACATAGCAAAAAGAAATTTAAGCCTCCTAATTTAGAAAAAATAGAATTTGGTATGAAGTTCCATATTGAAAAAGGGTTTTTAATGAATTGTTTTAAACAATTTATTTTGAAAGTATCATTTAAAGTATAAAAGTCCAGAAAGTTGAGGCCACCCTTACCATATGAGTTCATTATTACCGATTTTTTAATATAGTGGGTTTTGTTTCTCCATATCAAATTAAACAACATCTTGTCAATATCTTTTGAGACCCTTTTGTTAACATCAAGAGACAAAGCAGCATATGTAAGACGGGATATTGCTTCAGCTTTGGTTAGTAAAATTCTACCTTTCAATGACAAATCTCTCTGTAGGTTTTGTCAATAATCAAGTCAAAATTCAAATTGCATCTGGATTCTCTATCTTTAGAGATGATGATTCCTAAATAAGTGATAGTGTGTTTTACTGGTATATTACAAATAGAAGGGATGTCACATTGTTTAAGAGCAAGCAATTCACATTTCTTTATATTCAAGCAAAGTCCAGAGTAGACGCAGCAGAAAAAGTATTTATCAGATCAATAGATAAAGGTATCTGAGACAGATCTCGCAAAAATAATGTTGTATCATCAGCCAGCTGGCTGATGATAACTTCATTGCCCGCAATTGAGATACCTTTAACTGGACTAAGCTTTATATAGTCAGTGAGTAGCTGAGCGCAAATTAGAAAGAGATAAGGTGATATGGGGCATCCCTGCCTGACCCCGCGTTTAAGAAAGAAACGATATTGTATGGATTCATGGATGCCAAGTACTGATCTTTTATTATATAGATTGCAAATACAAATTGAACTTTTTGGTACTAGAATTATAAAATCAATTGCTTTTTCAGTCCGCTAGATGGTGTTGTTTTTTTCTAGTGAGGTCAGCAAAGGTGACGGTCAGCGTGCAGGAGGAAATTGGTAAAACAAATATGCATCAGAGAAATAAATCAGAAAAGCACCGTCTGCAATATTACTAAAATAAACTGCATGAAACTAGATTTTGTTATCTGGTGACATTTAGTTGATAACACCATTAGCCTGGTGTAGGAATAACATAAGTGGAAGAAAATTTATTCAGAATCAAGTGTTTGTGTGCCCGGGTGTATGTGTGTGTTGGTGCGCTAGCTAGCTTGTCACTTTTTTTCTCTCGCTATTTACCATGAGGCATGTGTACCAAGTACTGGAGCGAGAGAAGGCGAAACAGGATGGTACAACAGGTAAGGCTTTTAAAGAGCACACCGACACAGAATCGTGTGTTTTCTGAGCTTCATAATGGGACGGAAAGTTAGATACTTTTTTGCTAGTCTGACCTGAGGCCTCATTCCCGACTCGTGGAACCATAATAAATCCCAACTGTAAAGTCTCACAGGTTATTTATTCCACCATTTGGCTAATTTCTTTCAGGCTGAGTATTTCCCATTCAGTAATAGTAAAGAAAATATCCCCAGCTACTTTCTCACTCTGAGTTGCACTAGATTCTATAGTATAAATGTACTAATCTTAATAAAATGAAGTTTTACGTATGTCATCTGTTAAACCCATGTCACCAGCTGCTGGACATATTATTGACCATCTCTGAGCAGGAAGCCCAGGAACATTTTAGTGATTTTAGCTTGTCTTCACAATGTTATAATGTTTTTAATACTGTTGTAGGCTCATGAGGCAAGCTTACAAGGCGAACACAGAAAAAAAACACAGAATTAAATTGAATCTAATACAGTAATTAAGTTATGAATTTGCATTTTGTAAGTGTTATTTTACTTAACTTTATTCTGTTTTGGGTATGAAACCAAAATGAAATTTTGCTTGGTTGCACTCAGTGATTAGAGAATGGCTGCTTAGGTCTAATGCTTCAGCTAAGTGTTGAAAAGCATTGCTTTTTGTGATATGCTGGAACTTTTTTAAGGACAAATCAGTTTTATCAGAACAATACATTGAAATGCATGGAAAATTGATTAGTTTACATGTAAAATGTTGATTTTGTTCAAAGATATTAACTAATTTTCAGTTTTTTTTAAATACATTTTGGTGACTAACAGTAAATATTTAAATGTTGAACACCTCAACCTGCTATAACACTGAATGCTGCTCACACTTTAATACATCAATAATCATATCAAATAAATTAACATTCTGACACCCATTATGCACTACTTTTTTGGCAATAACACTTATGTACTTTTAATGCAAGACTTACTTTACTTGTAATTGAGTACATTTATAGAGGACTTCTTCCATAAATGGAACAATATTACACCCAGCTGTTATTTTCTACAGATGTGAGTACATAAATAAGCACAGCAGTACACAAATCTAGGATGGGGGAAAGTTGGAGTTTCTACATAACCTCAGCTGAACCTTATGAATATTTAATTGGCTGGACAGGAGGTGGGACGGTACAGTAGGGAGGAAGTCTGATGATGACAGGCACATCAGTTAAAGTTAAAAAAAAAAAGAAGTCAGTATTTGGTATCAAGGCTAATTTACGTATATATATATATATATATATATAATATATACTAAAAAATCCATTATCAGTCAGACTTCAAATGGTACCACTGGAAAATATGAAGAAAACACAACAATACATACAAATCAGTTTATTGTTGTTGCCTGTTTTGACTTTGTAAAAATAACATATGATTTCTCTTGGGTAAAAATATGAAATTGCCTGAGCACTGAATGAAAAAAAAGTATTTTATATTTTTATATTCCAGTCCTCAGTAGCTCAAGAGTCTTCACCTTTGAGTTGTGCACTCTGTAGCTCCTTGATCAGCACTTGAAAAGAAAAACAGTAATATACAGGTGTAACACAAAATCATTCTCCAAATATTAATAGAGTTCCACAAGCTGGACCTTACCTGTGATAATCTCCTCCTTCACTTTGTGAAGTTCTTTTTTCACTTCCTCAAGGATTTCCTACAAACACGCAGATACACACAAGACCTTGGTATTACAAAGTTATTACAAAGTTCTTACTTGATAAATCCTGCTTCATAATTAAAATCACAGTATGGAATCCTGGACAGAGCATTATGTCTAATACTGAGAGTCTGTGGTTTGATGTCATTACTTCCTGGTGCTTGCAGTTCACTGTGAACAGGAAACACATGCAGAACCTTACAACATAACATTGTTTTTACCATCTCTGTTCATTACAAACAAAAGCCACATAATTTCCCATGAAAGAAATTGTATTTTTTTTTAAATTAATTTAAAAATAAATATTCTGCTTTGAGAAAGTCATAACACATAACTTTACAGACTTTAGAGCTGTTTCTTGTTCAAGTACAGATAGAGGGACCAACCTGTTTGATTTGATCCATATCAACATAATTTCCTGCGCCATCTGAATTCCTTTTCTCCACCTTCATCCTAAAATGGAAAAATACATTTTTACATTCAACTAAAACATACAGTATTCCTTGAGATTAAGGAGGCCTTATAGAGCTGGCCAGCAGAGGCATCATACTTTGTTTCAGACAGACAAAAAGTATATTATAAAAGGTATTAGGAACTCTCAGGAGAGTGAGACATAGAGGGAAACAGAAAAGCAGCGAACAGTTATACAGTAAATGTAATCAGTGTTTAGAATGGATCATCTGCCATCGTCCCAAAAACAGTTTGTGTTTCAGTAAGAGATACCACTTCCTCAAGTCTTTACAAAGCCATTTGAGCAAAGTTCCTGTGGTGAGTATAATTTAAGTACCTTCAAAATGTCCACTTCTGCTTATTGACTGGAGTTTATTGTCAATACTCATTATTGTTGTGATAGTCAGATTTCATGAGCAAAACCTCAATTCAGTTGCAAGACACTGTCATGGCAACATGTTGAAGTGAAGCAAGACACTGAAGGTCACCTCAGCAGCTTAAAAGTCTTATGCTATAATAACAGAGAAGAATCACAAAATTTCAAGCGTTTCATTTCTTGGAGTGAGTGATTTGCAAAAGCAGCACATCAGATGAAAACAGCAGTAGAACCCATGCAGAGCTCATTTCCATGTTCAAACTGTAGGCAGCACACAAGCATCTCAGGACTATAGTAGCTCCAGAAAGCCTTCAGACCCCTCCTCAGTCTACACTCAATAATCCATAATAACAAAGTGAAAACATGTTTTTAGAAATTTTTGCCAAATTTAAAGAAAAAACAAAAACAGAAACCTCTCATTTACAAAATTATTCAGACCCTGTCATCAAGTGCTTCCTGTTTGCTTTAATTATCCTTGAGATGTGTCTACAACTTGACTGGAATCCACTTGTGGTGAACTGAATTGACTGTTTAGAGTTTATCAAGACTTACACTTGTGTATATAAGATCCCACAATGCACACTGCACGTCAGGACAAAGACCATGAACTCCAAGGAAATCTTTGTAGACCTGATCTATGATAAAATTGTTGAGAGGCATTGATCAGAGAAAGGGTGTAAAACCATTTCTAAAGCTCAGGAGCACAGTGGCTTCGATAATTGTGAAATGGGAGAAGTTTGGAACAACCATGACCTAGATCCCAACTGTCACTATAATAGCTTCAGAAGTCCTCTGCAGAGACAGAAGTTTATCATAAAACTTTTAAAGATCTCAGAGTGTGAAGAAAAAGACTCTCTAGTCTGATGAGACAAAATCTAAACCCTTTGTTCCGAGCACCGGACACTGCTCATCACCTTGCTAACACCATCCCTACTGTGAAGCATGGCAGCATCATGCATCGTGGGGGCTTCTCAGTAGCAGGGACATGGAGACTGGTCAGAGATGAAGGAAGGATGAATGAAGCCAAAAATTGACTTATTGATTATTGACTGTATGTTAATGGGCAATAATGGCAGTTTCTTTGAATTTACAATTAAATCCACAACAGAATGAACTTTGCCGGACTGAAGGGTTCTGAATGCCTTCTGAAACCACAGTGGAGGACAGTGGAGGGAATTTTTACCTGGACACTGGGGTAGTGGATGAGTTAGAGGAGGGAGAACTTGGGCTGGTGTCCTTTTGATTGTTGGTTAAAGATCTGGGCCTTTTGCAAAAAAAAAAAAGAAAAAAAAAGAAATGTCAAAAAAAGACATGCAGACCTTTCAGAACAGCCACTGATTGGGTTTTTGAACTTGTAGGTGTCTGTGTAATAGTTGTATAGATAGTGAAAGCTTGAAGGATCAGTCTCTTACCTTGGCATAGTGGCAGATGTTTCCTTGGACTTTTCCTTGATTTCTGGTGAAATATGATTATTTGAATTATTACAGCACACGGCCATAAGATAAAATGTATTTCTTCATACCATGCTATGCTGTGGTATATTATTGTAAAATTAAACTAAAATTTTGTTTGTTGACAAAGGATAAATAATTAAGTAGCACATTTAGAATTTTAAAAATATTTTTTTTCACAGTATTATGTAATGTCACGATGGAGATATACTAATAATTTATTCTTCTTTATTATAATCCTGTAGAAGCGGTGACAGTAATGTTACTCACCTCTTGGTGCTGAGGATTTTGATGCTGAGGAGTCAGACTCCTCCTGCAGACAAACAAGTTATCATCTGCTCATATCTTACATTTTACTGGTCATTCTACAAATACTACAGAATAATGAGAGAAAATCCAATAACCATGAAATCAATGACTTAGGAAACTTACATTACTAAGTTCTTCCTTTTTAGCAGCAGGACTGTCAGCAGCTTTCCTCCTATTTAATACAGTTGAATTATGGGAATTCAGAAGTCCCTAATATCAAATCATCACAGATATCTATCTTATATGTCTAAATAATAACTTACCTCCTAGCAAGGATGGCACTCATTTCTCCCATTAGACCACCTCCTCCGCCTCCACCAGATGAGGCTGCTGGTTTGGGGGCTGGGGCTGCTGCTCCTCCCTCATCCTTGATACACAAAAGCACATCCACTAAGTTTTTGGCCCATTGGACGACTTTAACAGTCTGTCACTTACAAGAACATGGACACCAAAATCATACCATCCCTACCTTGACTGTTTTACGCAGTTTGGCTCCTGCCAGAGCTGCAGCCAGATCATTTGCCCCTCCACCTCCGCTTCCTCCTGCAGGGGGTGGGGGTGGTGCAGGTGGGGCCATGCCCCCAGGAGGAGGTGGTGGAGGTGCAGGTGGGCAAGGTCCAGAGGGAGGTGGTGGGCCTGGAGGTGGTGGGGGTGCTGGTGGGGCGGGTGGGGCAGGAGGAGCAGGAGGGACAGATGCAGAACTGGAGACCTGCCTCTCTCTCTCCATACGCTCTTTCTCCTGCTGCTCCTGCTTCTGACGCTCTAGTCTGGCCACAGAGCAACAGAAAATTCATAATTTAATATTAGGCTTCTTTCACAGCTGAGAGTCAGGCTTTGGGAAACTAGTGGCAGCCTGTTGCAGTAGCTTGTTCCCATTAACATTGCTGTGTTTAATCTATCAATCTATCTGTGGCATTTTTCACTATTTTCTGAAAATTGTATAAACCAATAGTTGAAGTCCAAGACAGCAACTACTGATGAAGGACACGTGAGTTGCAGTGTTAATATCATTTCTAATGAACAGTACCTTTTCTGGTTTTCCAGTTCCTGTGCAGAGGGTCCATTCTGAGCTGGGCCTGAGCAAAAACATTTATTTTGTGTATAATTGGAGGATTACTGAACCAAAAGAAAGTAAAGTAGTCAGGGTTTGTAGTCTACACTACAGCCTCACATTCATCTTTACAGCATATTTTCATATTATACATTGTATTAGGTGTTGATTAAATTTTATGTGCACAGTTATTTCAATTCAAATAATTTTCTAAAAGCATATTTGATTTTAGTTTACAGTAACAATGGGGATGACTGACATTTGTCACTAACTGTAAATAATTGTTAACACATCTTTTAACACTTAACATGCTGCTGGATAATGTATGTATTTTCAAAGAACATGTTATTGTCATATCACACAGCAATACGTGACTACAGGACTATAACAAAAAGGAACAATCTTCTTGTGACCTATTCATGATTTTATAGTATAAAGATTAGAGCATGAGATACAGACACACCTAACACTGGCCAACCTGGACCTCATGTGCTGTCTTTCATTACTTTGTTTACCTGTGCTCGCCGGTGCATTGAGAGTGTCTAATGCATGCATCATGGACTTAGCAAACAGAGCAGCATCCTCTTTACTGCCAAAGTTCAGCCCCCACACCTGTTTGGGATCTCGCCACTGGTGAAAATTTGGTGTGGCTTGATTATACTTCGTCCCTTTGATAATGGGACAGTTGATCACCACCTTGCATGAACAGGAAGCACAGGATAGTGACTCTACTGAGGATTGACTTTGAGGTCATAGGTTACAATGTCATGAACACCTTTACAATGAATTTAGTCAGAGGCCTTCTTATACCCTCTTATACCTTCTTACAATTAGATTCTTATATACCTGCTGGTCGGCCTGCAGTTTGCGGCCCACCACTCTGAAGGTGTTGGCCGCAGGGTTGTGATAGATCTGGACGCGACTGAAGGAAGGACTCTCAGATCCTGCTGGCACCCAACGCTTGCTGGAGTCATTGTACAGCATAACTGTTGCCCTCACCTGGCAAATACTGGACTCACTGTTGAAGGGAGAGATGATGAGAGAAACGTGACAAGATGCCGAGAAGAAAAGGACCACAGGGTGGAAGGAAGTGGATAGCAACACAATAAATGTGTAGTGTGATGTGATGTGATGTGTGATGAGTAGAGGCCAACTAGTTTTAAAAAGGTAAACCATGTATATTCAAAAGGATATGTGATACCAAAAAGTTTGATTTTCGATACAAAGTAATACTGATGTCAATATGTTTTATTGTTAATAGAAACTAATATACTGTTATGTAAGGGAGAGAAATATGATATATGAAGTAAATGTGTTATTGATAAGCTACATTTGAATATAGTTTAATTACTACCAAATAATATATCCAAACATGATTTTCTTTTTTTACTATTCTGTGTTAATGACGTTCAAACACAAGACAAGCTTTCAGTTGTAAATATCAAATTATATCAAATCTCAGTTCTAAGACAAACGTTTATGTTCCTGGCATGTGATCAAACATGTGATGGATTCCTTTTCCCTTTTTTGTTCAATGAAAAGGGTTTTTTTTTCCTCAAAGCAAATATGGTATTGTATGGTAAACTGAATGAAAAGTCTTTCATGATCAGATATAGGTCACTATTTTGTTGTACTTGACATAGCGAAGGACTGACGTACTGAGATCCTTTACTAAAACTTGTGATATGTAACTTTTCCACATTAAAATGTCTAAAAATGACTAGACCTATGTTATATATTTTTTTGAGTTAGGTACTCAAAAATCCAAATACTACCCAAATGTTTCTAGTAATTCGAAAATGAAGAGAAATATGTAATTTTAATATGGTAACACCCCGTGTCATTTGGTTGACTGTCATTGACATTATATCCCCTAGGTTATCAGAGAAACAATCAAAACACATCTTAGCAGCTATCTCAGCTCCCACCCCTTCCCTGATGTCTTGTGTCCACCGTACAGCTTCGGTAAAACACTGACATTAAATGTGAAACTGCTTTATTCAGTGTTTTTAATGGTTGTAATCACAGAGTCTGTTTGATTTCCTGAACAACTGACACTGAAGTAATCCAAACCAGGAGAAGCTTATGGTAATGGTGGTGAAAACAACAACTTCCCTGACCCCCCGCTATTTCATGATGTCACATGATGTCTTTTGTTATCGTTTTGATTGAGAGACCTGTAGTGGCAGGAGTTAAATACTGTGCGAGTATTAATACAACAATGTAAAGACCCTCCATTAATCAGTTACGGTTTCACAAAATTAAAAATAAGGACAATCAGTAAAGTGTCATCAAAAAATTGAAGCATTGAAAGTATTATTTGATGATTATTACTGATAAATACATATAAGCAGCAAATTTTTTATACTTATTGTTATTCTAACTGTGTACAAATGAGTATAATCTGGAACAGTGCATCATATATTCATCATATGCTTTGTATGTAAAATATGAATCTGCAAATTAACTGCATTTATATGGAGCTTTTCTAGTCTTATCCACCACTGAAAGCACTTTACACCACACGCCACATTTACCCATTCACTCACATTCATCGTGTGTTTTTTTCTATGCATTTTGTGCTTTTCAATCACACATACACACATACGAACACACTGATTATAAAAGATTTCAAAGATCTGTATTTGAATTGTATTCATTTGAATGTTTTCAGACAGATGTAAGAAAGAGAAAACAGAACAAAAACGTTTCTGGCAGTGTTGCACATACTTATTTTCATATGAGGCACTTTAACATTGAGTTATTTTCAGTTTACTTGCTGTTGCAAAATCTGCAGCCTGTGGGAAATCTTTACTTCCTGCTTAAGAGGTTTTCATATCTAAACCACTTCCTGTGCTCAGTACAGCACTACCTTATATGGACTACAATGTTCCACCTGTCACTGATATATACTAACTTTTCAAGATTGTGACGCCTTAAAATCTTTCTTAGGATTTAATATTATGCTCTGTCCAAAGGAGACAGATATTTTCATTTTCTGTGTGACAACTGTGAAAACAAAATACCTGCTACGAGCTCCAGATGCTTTGAGACAGCGGGAAAAGTAGTCAGAGCTAAAGAGCTTGTGAAGAGCGTAAAGTTGATAGGCAGCAGTACTGTTCTGCATGTCTTTATGCATATGTGAGCCATTCAAAATGACTCGGGAGTTTAAAGTTTTAAGTGAATTCTCATCGTCTGTAATTAGAAAAATGACTCACCTCATATTTCAGTTGTACCCAAAGTTTCACTTGCTTTGTCAACGTTATCGGTTTCTTCTCATAAACCTAAATTGCTTCCTCTTCCCTCTCACAAGTATTTGTTGTCTATTGAATCAATCCTGCTGTCATGTCTTCCTGCACACCTCCATTGCTCTCTCTCATAACATTGTTCAGCACTAACCACTTGCACTTCTGCCTTTGTATTCTCATTACCTCAACCCTTTTTTTCTCTCTTCCTGTTCTTGTCTCCTTCACGCGTTCTTTTAAATTCTCACTTTCAAACCTCCCCCATTTTGCGTCTTCCTTTGGCATAGCTCTGATTTCTGTCTGCTTTGTCCTTTCCATCGTGTTGCCGGCTGAAGACAACAAGATTCACTACACCTGCAGTGGTCATGACACCTCTTCAGATGTTTATTTAGACTATTTCAGATAAAGAGATGGGAGCATCTCATGCAGTGGTTCATTGCAACTTTCTCTGCTGCCAGCAAAACAAGCAGCAGGGAAAGTAGCACTAAACCACAGATGTTACAATGTTATTGTATTTCATGGCTCAAAGCAAACAGTAATTATTGTATCAATATTATTCAGCAGAAGCAGTATGGGGTACTGTTTTACCCTGAACATGTTAAAATGGACAGAAAACTAGATTCAGTGGTGTAGTAGAATTAGATGTAGAAGCAGCAGCAGTGGTAGTAAAAGTAGCAGGTGCAGTAGCAGTATAAGTTGTAAATATACATGTTGCTGTATCTGGATCAGGGATAGTGAAGGGAAACTGAAGCCACATGTTCTGAGTCATTCCACAATTTGAACCTGTTAGAACAAAGAGTCCAATCGTGACGACTCTTATGAATATAGCAAATGTATTCAGTCAAGTTTTTTTTTTTAAGAGAAATCACATATGTTTGTACTGGAGAGAGTGTTTTTGTTACTCTACAACAAAGTATAATGTGCTATCCCCCAGACTCTGTCACGGCACCATTAAGTAGTACTTCACTTTTGCTGTGCTGTGGCAGCAGTGAAAGAAGAACTGGAAACTTCATTATTTTTGCTGCTAAGGGACTGAATAAGCATCAATTCAGAAACATAGGAACACACCTTTATAAAACATGCAATTTGTTATCTTGCCTTTTTTTTCACTGAGTCAGTGGTTTTTTGTCAGTGATAGATTTGCATACTTGGCCTCTTGCCAATGCCAGTGCATTTCAGAATACTCTATTTGAAACTCTGTTCGTTTTTTTTATTTAACTGTCTAGGTTTTGGGCACTATCTGTTTAGATGCTTCCTCCAGACCTCATTCAACTACATCATGTATGTCTATATATATATATATATATATATATATATATATATATTGTGTGTGTATGTGTGTGTGTGTGTGTGTGTGTGTGTGTGTATACGTGTACATGTAAGAAGCCTTGCGGGCAAACTGTAATTTCTGTGGTGTCCTACAAAGAACAAAGAACATAGCATATCCTCCTTCATCAAGCAGTTTCTTTTACTCTACTAGGCTGACTTCAAATGCTACCCAAATGTTTCCAGTAATTCAAAAACGGAGAGAAATATGTAATTTTAATATGGTAACACTCCGTGTCATTTGGACTGTCAATGACATTATATCCCCTATGCACATGGGCCTGCTGAATGTCTGGTTCATAATTCATTAAGGAAACAAAGGTAAGCACTCTCAGTTTCCAGTTTCCATATATATAAATAAAGGCCATTACAAACTATATCCAGTTGTGTGCTGCATTTGGGTCCATACTATACCCGTTTCAGTACAATCTGGCCAAAAACATGGACTCAGCGCACGCAAACCCCCAAAGATACTTTATGTGAAACATTGTAAATTCAGAACATGTGTACAGTTAAACATATGTTATAGATGATCAGTCTTTTCATTATCTATCTTGCAATGCAAAATGAAACAGTAAAAAGTCTGATCAAGAATTTCAACTTTGACAAAGAAAACAGAGTAAATATCTAGAATGTTAAAGAAATACATTAACATTCACTCCATGAACGCTTTTCTGTCTGTATGAATAGTCTGTCTGAATCATTGCCCTGCTTGACTTGGGATACAGTAGCTGTAGTAACACCTCTTGTCACACTAATAACGGGGAAACTTTCTGTGTACTCAGGTGAGAAGACTTGAATAATAGTATCAGTGACAAGGAGTTGGACGTGATGGTGACTGACATTCAGCACCTCTACCCCAGCACCGGCTACAAGATGATAACGGGTCACTTGAGATCATGACAAGTTTTTATCAAAAGTATGAATACTTGCCTGATTTCTACAGTGTTACTAAACAAAGACAGCAGAGTGAGCAGCATATTACATCAAAGATATTTTCCTTTTTATTGATAAAGGTACTAATTATCCTTAAGTTAGAATGCTATTAGAAAGCGCATATTCATTGTTTATATGAAATATAAAAGTAATATACTGGTATGCAACTTTATGATAAAGATGCCAAATATGATCTAATTGTGGACAATGTATGATGCATATATCAATGTATTTCCTTTTTTAGAGCACTGTGTGCAGGCATCATTAAGACGAGTGGATCCTCAGTACAGATGCGCAGGCTGTCACTACGAACCTTAAGGCAAAGACATTACTCTGCTCCAGCTCCCAACAGCCTTTGGCATATTGATGGGAACCATAAACTTATACAGTAGTATAACCCACATCATCTTTTCACTGTTTTCATCCTACCTCTTGCAGAATAGCTCAAAAGCACTTTTTTAACGTGTGCAGATAGAGAGTGGTTGTGCATGGTGGTATTGATGGGTTTTCACGGCTCCTCCTTTACCTGAGTGTAGCAACGAACAACAGAGCCCAAACTGTCCTGGAGAGTTTCCTGTCTGCAGTAGAGCAGTAAGGTATCAGGCCCTCCTGGGGGAGAAACACTCTGCTCTATGGGAGGGGACGTTAGGCCCCATTGTGACAGGTCTCTGTGATGATCTCCCACGCAGTCCACCTTGAAGTCCTGAAATCTGGTAGGTCAACGTGTTTGGCGTTTAGGCCTCACATCAGGATACATCTCTTCATCTGACTCCATCCTGAATAATGCTATCCGGCTCAAAGGACCAATGTTTGTGAGGTGAAAGGATAGGACTAGCTCCCTTTAGGTTTTAGCAATACTTTTAACTTCAAAAGGAAAGCTCTGAGATCAACATTAGTGAAGGCTAAGCTAACATGCACTGTTGGGAACCTACTTTCATCAGGGGGAATGTTCAGTCATCTAATTAAGTATCTCGAAAACACTGGTTGATAAAGAATATTTAGTTGTTTTTTCCCCTGCCAATCTAACGTCACCTACTCCAGTCCGGTAGATGGCGGTAATGCATCTGAGAGCTGATTAGCAACCGACAATTAAATCAGAAGAAGAAGAAGACGAAGAAGAAGAAGAAGAAGATGATTTGAAAAATCACGACAATTCAGATCGAAAGTCGGCCTAGGATGTCACTGTTTTTGCGGACCTCTGTATGGTCCCTCACTCGCTTGGGGTTTCTTTGCAGGAGTAGAAAGCTCGTTCCCCGGTCTACCAAGGCAGCGTATCATTCAAACTGCATTAGTGTTTTGCGCAAAAACGTACCGTTTACCAGTGTAATAAATCCATTTACTGCTCCCGGATCCGGCCCCGGCATTGCTTCTAGAGTCAGCTTCGGTTTTGACGTTCAGGTGTCCAGAAGAATCAACATGTCGTCTACCTCGATGTCTCAGAGAATGATTTGGGTGGACCTGGAGGCAAGTCACAAGATAAATCCCAGCTTGTAGCAGTATAGTTAACTAATCGCCCCTGTATATAGGTTTGCTAAAATTAGCAAAGGCTACACCAAGCTAACCAGGGGTGTCGGTATAACGTTAAATAACTAGCTTGTTTGTAAATGCGTGAGGACAGTAAAGGACGGTAAGGTTTGGCTAAAATGGGAGCCAAAATCTGCATTCTAGCTGACTTTGCAAGCCACACAGACTGGCAGGCTCATGAATGTAAGTATTTACACATTTGTACATCAAGAGTCCAGCTCATAGTATATTACTTCAAGATGATGTGAATAGTCCATCAGAATGCAACACCTCATGGATGAGGGAAATATCTTTATAGTCCAAGTAGTTGTCTGCTACAGCGTACCTGACTGCTCTAAGATCACTTATCCTGTGTTCTTGTTTAAAAAAGAATAGACACCATTAGGGAGAAATTTATATTTTATATTTTTCAGTGTCATAATAACCCCTTAGTTTACCATTAATTTAATGGAATTCTGTTCCCCTAGCTGTCTATGTAGATGAAGACTTTATTTCAATTTAGCCAATTACATTTTGCCTGAAGTAGGCCTATTAATGTCAATCAAACTGATCCCAGACAGCAGCTTGCTACACAAGAGCCACAGAATCTGAACAACACACATTAGATCTTAAGTCACAAAAAAAGTTACAATGAGCAATGGGATCTCAAATTCCTCCTCAATGCGTCTTGGGTGTGTTCACCCCTGTACTTAGAGCTGGCCACTTGTGACTGGGTAACATGAGGCAGATGTAAATAGCAGGTCTGAACAGGGCCATACTTACACAGTTGGTTTCAAATATGAACATGTATCTTGTCCTGCACCATAGCTTGTTCAATTAGTGATCAAACAAACATCCACTCCACTGTGGAAAAGCACATGCTGTTTTGCAGGTTAGATAGCTAATTGGCTGCAGCAACAGCCCATTAAACAGCAAGTCAAGGTAGTTGCAAATGTCTCTTAGGTGTGATTAGATGTTGGTGTGGTCCTAACTCTTTAAAATCACTGCCAAGGGGCCCGTTCAATACCGGGGCTCGGTACCCATCCCTAACAGTGACTCACTATTGCCTCTTTGGGTACAAAGTGGTAGTCTGAGACGGGGATGGTTGGGGCTAGCTGGTGCTAACGTCAGTAGATATCTCTGCAGTACAATACATGGACATCTATGACATGACATCAAAACTGTTAAAACTTCACATTCTGTCGATAATTTTAGCAAATTTTTGAATGTTTTAAGTTAAAATACTGACATATAGCACCTTTTAATAATACAGATCTAATGACATATCTAATTCCAAAAAGGATGACTAGATGTGATTTTAGTTGAACTTTGCAATAAATACAGCAACACCACTTAACATTATTTTGTACTTGTAGACATCACACATTTGGTCCATCAACCAGCATTTATTTCACTCCTGTAGGCAACTACAGTGTCACATAATTTCACATTTTATAACACTGTAATATGTGACAGCAGGCTCAAAGTTAAAGTTCTGATTGGTACAATTTTTTTTTCTTCTTTCATGCTTGCTCTTCAAAATGTCTGAATGGCACAGCTAGAGAGCTAAGTCCTTGTGTATTATTTATTTTTAGATGACAGGTCTCGACATTGAGAAGGACCAGATCATTGAAATGGCATGCATTATCACAGACTCTGACCTCAACATTTTGGCTCAGGTAACATAAACTTAAACATGGGACTGCCTGTTGTCGTCTGTTGTGTAAATTAAACTCATCTGTTCTCGGTCATAGGGACCCAACTTGATAATTAACCAGCCAGATGAGTTGCTGGAAGGGATGTCGGAGTGGTGTAAGGAGCATCATGGAAAGGTAAGCTGCCTAAGTAACTTATAGTGCAAGTTAAACTACTCAAAACCAGGGTTTTTCCTGCATAGATAATTGGGAAGCTGCTGCCTCCCGACAAAATTCTAGTACTTGTTTTCTCGGTACTCTGTGTTTGATGTTTGTAACTGCAGTTGCAATCCGTTTTTATTAATCTTCCCAGATGTTCTGAAAAGCATAGGGTGAGTGGCTTTAGACGGTATTAGACGGGCCCCTGATATAAATTATTTAAGACTGTAGTATTGATAAGCTCCGTCAATATCGGTTCTGCTCTCGGTACTGGAGAAATTAAGAAAATAGTTTCCTATTTGTTATCTAGGACATTTTATTTCACCAACTCCATTTCTGAATTAGACGGTCATCTATCCCCATCCAGAATACCGGAGCCTTTGTGTGTGTGTGAGGGGCAGCTCACCATGCAGTGAAAACACACACACAGACCCATTTCTTAGATACAAAGGTGAGAACTAAAAGTTCAAAAGTGTGGTTCAGTCTTTTGCAATGTAAAGGTGAAAACACGAGTGATTGTTTGAAACTTCTTCCGAAGTCCATCACATACAGGTGGAGAAATGCACTGTTTTTGACTGACTAGCTTGTAGTTCATCCTTCGTTACACCAGGTACTTTATGTAAACTAGCAGCCTGGAGCCCACACCAGGCTAGGAATTTTGACATTTTAGGGGCAAGTCTATTTGGCCTTTGGTATCACAAATGTTTTTAGGGCACAAAGGCCATTGAGGGATTTGATGTCTACAAATAAATAAAAAGCAAGAAAATAACACAAATGGCATGAAAATCATAAATTATTCACCTTTTGATATAAATTAAAAAAGACATGTTTTAAGGTGCAGTCTGTTGTCATGTACCAATCAAGATGCATCATGTTATCATGTAAAAATTTACCAGAATCTAAAATGTAAATATATTTAATTTCAGCAGATTGATGTAAGAATTAGGGCTATAAGCTATTGATTACTTTAGTAATGGAATATTCTACCGATTATTCTATCGATTAATCAAGTAAGCGGACAAGAAATACTTTTCAAATAAAATGTAATACTCATTAAAGAGCAATAGAAAATATAAACAAGAGAAAAGAAAGCGGGAAGGAATCGGTTTCCTTTTAAGAATAATTTACATTTTTATTGCTTAAACTGCATCTAATATTATCTTTCATCTTCTGAAAGCCTTCATCCTTCATAGACAGCGAGCGCATGTCTGTCACAATCATGTTCAAAATGCTGTCTGTGAACTTAGCTGCTTGCTCAGTTGAACATGTAGCAGCCATACGATACGAAAGCTGCTTGGAGTTTGCAAAAAAAAAAAGAAACACCTAAAGGACTCAGACTGTGAGAAACAAGATTCTCTGGTCTGATGAAACCAAGATTGAACTGTTTGGCCACAGTTCTAATCATCATGTCTGGAGGAAACCAAGCACCTCTCATCACCTGCCCAATACCATCCCAATCGTGAAGGATGGCGGAGGCAGCACCAGGTTTTGGGCGTGTTTTTCAGCAGCAGGGACAAGGAGACTGGTGAGGGTATAGGGAAAGACTGGCCAGAAGGTTCACCAACAGGACAATGACCCTAAGCACACAGCCAAGACAACACAGGAGTGGCTTAAAGACAACTCTGTCGATGTGATTAAGTGACCCAGCCAGAGCCCCGACTTGAACCCAATCCAACATCTCTGGAGAGACCTGAAAATGGTATCCACCCAGTGGTACCTGTTCAACCTGACAGAGCTTCAGAGGATCTGCAGAGAAGAACTGCATAAAATCCCCAAATCCAAATGTGCAAAGCTTGTGACATCATACCCAAGAAGACTTGAGGCTGTAATCACAGCCAAACATGCTTCAACCAAATACTGAATAAAGTGTCCGAATACTTATGTCAGTGTGATATTTTTTTGTTTTTAATAAATTAGCAAAATTTTCCAAAATTCAGTTTTAACTTTGTTATAATGGGATATTGAGTGCAGATTGATGAGGGGAAAAATGAATTTATATTATTTTAGCATAAAACTGTAACATAGAGTAAAAAAAAAAAAAAAAAGTGAATGTGTGTGAAGACTTTCTAAATGCACTATAAATAGCCAGTGTAATTGTGTCTCAGTCAGGACTGACTCAGGCTGTACGGGACAGTAAAATCACCCTGGAACAAGCAGAATATGAGTTCCTGTCCTTCGTCAGACAGCACACCCCGCCTGGACAGTGTCCCCTTGCTGGTGAGTTACCTTTTAGCACAAGCAGCAGAACTATTACTCAACTGACTTGGCTCCCATACTCATGTCTTATGATTTCTCTTCTTGCAGGGAACTCTGTGCATGCCGACAAGAGGTTCTTGGACAAGCACATGCCACAGTTTATGTACCACCTTCATTATAGAATCATTGACGTCAGCACCATCAAGGAGATTTGCAGGCCAGTGTTTGTGTGTGTGTGTCTGAGAGTTCATCTGCTGTTGTGCAGAGTTGTGGAAATTTTCTCAGTTTTGACCTCTCTCAGTGCTCTGTTTTGTTCAGATGGTATTATATCCGTCTGTCTGAAAAAGTATTTGAATTTGTTGTAGCATTATTTGTAGTGTAGACCCACCTCCCACCTTGTTATATGTGCCGGCGTGTGTGAGACTGATATAACGTATGCCATCTGCAATGCATGCCAACAATGATCGGTATCGGCCGTGGATCTGCCGATCTCACTCATAGATGATCGGTGTCAGTGGGGGGGGGGGATGATCGTGGCATCCCTAACCTTCTCTATGGTCCTGTTGAGACCTGGCATTAACATCAATCTCAGATGATCGGATCACAAGTGGACAGCTCTAAGTTCAGGTGTGAAGGCAGCCGACACACATTGAGGATGCATTTGAGATACGATCACACATTCAGAGGCTTACTGTACTGGTGTCCTCTGCCACTGTCTGATTAGTCCCAACACAGTTTCATAAAGAACGGAAAATATTTTAATATTTCAAATGGATAAAACCTTATTTCACCGTAGAGCTGTGAGCAGCACATTGATTAGCTCAACCCCTCCTTGCTCCACTCTCTCTCCTCTCTCTGTCACACGCGCGCACACACAAACAACACTGGGTAAAAACAACAACACATACATAGTGAATATAGAGCAGGGAAGTGAGATCCAATCACAAGTGTACACTGGAGACGAATTTTGATGCCAGGTCTGAACAGGGCCCAACATTCATCAGTTTGCATGTCAAAGGCCCAGTTTTAATATTGCATCGCTGAGTAGGTTTCGTAACGCAGTGATTGGATTGTCTCTATTTACTAGTACATCAAAAGAAATCAAAAATAGTATTAGCATTCTTAGTGTGACTGTACATTACAAGGTCAATGTAAAAGGAGATTGATTTGGGTTCGTTTTTGATCTCTACACACTTTCAGACGGTGGTTTCCAGAAGAATACAAGATGGTGCCTCACAAGAAAGCCAGCCACAGGTAAACAATAAGAAAAACAAATCAATTTACAGTGGTATGCAAAGGTTTGTCCACCCCTGGGCAAATTACATATTTTGTTGAAAAGAAGTAAATACACAGCCCAAAGAATAATGAAGCCAATTTATTTGAAGAATGGAAATGTTTGACAAATTAAATTACAATATAAAGTCCATGTTAAAGGTGTAATATGTATGATCGTGCTTCTTGCTCCATTTTCATAGAGGGGATCATTTCATCTCTTCGCCCCCGTCCAATTAATTAAATCATGAGGAACATAGGGAAAACAACAATATATTATTTATATGTACATTTGTTGTTAAAATTGTAACAGGCTTTTATTTTTTTTAATTAAAAAAAAAAAAAACTTTTTACAATTGTAAATCAACTTTATTGAAGTGTACATAACAATGACCAATGACGCAACAATGGAACTACACTGTGTGTACATCACAATCATACAGTTACAAATTCAAGTAAAAATATACCAGGGGGACTAAATGTTGATAACAAGAAAAATAAGAAAATAAATATTTAAATAAATGTCTTTAAAAGCTTAAATTGGTTATATGTCTGTACATTCAGATATTGAGGAAATGTATTGTTTGATATTAGCTGTCAGCTCTGGAAAATGTAGCTTTTTGCTCAAGAATTTGGATTTGTGAATATAGAATATGGTTAAAAAAAAATAAGCAAATTGATCACATAAAAATTGAGAGTAGAGACTCTTGTCAAGTTCAATGATTCCAAGCAATACATTTTTCCAATATAATATAAATAGGGGATATATATGATCAGCAATAAAACGTGACATACTACTCCACAGTTGTTTTGTGTGCGGACAAAGCCAAAATAAATTCAATCCTGCCCAATATCATAACTGTAATATAAAGTGATTAGAGTATGGTGAACAGATCGATGTGTGTTCACTCAGTCTACTGGATCCATACAATCTCAATGTACAGTCAAAATAAGCCTAAATCTACCAACTGGCTGGGCAACAGCCAGCAGGAACACGCTAAATTCTACTAAAACGTTAAAACGTCTGTCGACAACGTCCATGTCATACATTTATACCACTTGAAATGTTTGTTGGTACTATTTGTCATTGGTTGCACGAATGATACTTTTCACCAAAGACCAACATTAAGTGTTACACAAGTTCAAAAGAAAAGTTGTGAGCTCGGCATTAAACCGCATCTCTTTACTTGTCCAGAGCTGTCTCCAGCTGTGGAAAGCAACACCAAGATTAACTTGCTTTTTGTTTCTTTTCTTTGCGGTTGAACATGGTTTCTTGTCGGGAGCAGCCCTTTGAGATGGAGATAAAGATCATTTTCCAGAAGCTGGTGTATCTGAAGCTGAAGCTGGTGTCTAGGTGTAGCGTAGCTTCAAGCTCTGAAGAAGCTGTTCTTCATGGGACTGAGGAACGACTAGACTCTAATCTGACTCACTCAGCATCTTGTGTCATAAAGTGGTTTTACAGCACGGGACGGGACGGGTCGGGTCGAGGCTAGTTGGTTAGCGTGCTCATTTCAGGAGATACCTCTGAAATACAATAGTTGGAGGTCTTGGTCATCTTTTGTAGTGTTGGCCTTTGATGCTGTCAATTATGATTACATTGTACTCACCAGCAATGTTGTGCAGTAACGTATTACTTGGTAACGTGTTACAGTAATGCTCCATTAGTTTGACATTTGGGGGTCAGCTTGTTTGCTGTCTTTATGGGAGTTTGATGGAGGGTTCATAACAGTGTGGGGTCTGTGGCCAGTGGGCAGACTCGCATGGTAGTGACTCAACTCAATTCCACTCTACTCGACTCGCTTTTGGTACTAGGTACTTCTTTTTCCACTGCAGATAGTATTTCTCAATTCGGCAACTTCGTCTGAAGTATTTTCACCTCACCTTTTGGTATTGCCTCAATTCCAAAAAAAACCAAAACCAAAAAAAGTACCAGCTACCATCTAAACTTATTCNTGACGCACAAAGCTGTTGTTACATCATCTTCACATGATCAATGGAGGATGTTGAAGGAATATCAAACAGAAAAACATCTGCACCTTCTCAGTTGACCACCGCTTGGTTTTACGGGTTGCCGTAGTAAAAGTATAGAACAATAACTAACAGAAACATAACAGTCTACAGTGAGCGTTGTACAGTCACTTGGCTGTTTGAAAATGGCAGATTTGTTCAGAGCCTCCCATCTCACAATGATGGAGCAGTACAGATGATTCTCTCTGACCAATCAGTCGTCTGAAGTATTTTCACCTCACCTTTTGGTATCGCCTCAATTCCAAAAAAAAACAAAAAAAACAAAACCAAAAAAAGTACCAGCTACCATCTAAACTTATTCCCAATGGAAAATCAAAAAAGGTGATTTTAGTTAAGCCAGTACCAGTGGAAGAGGTGTGTACATTCAGGAGTCACCTCTGTTTTTTAAAGTTGGGGTGTGTGTCAATGGCTTATGAGGTCAGGACCTCTGGAGGGCTATGTGCTGTCACCAAGGCTAAGCTAGCTACGGTATCGCCTCCAAATCATACATTCACCTGCTCGCTAATCTGCAACATCTTGTTTTATGCTTCTACATATGTTAAATAGAATAGGTGAAACTTGTGTGTGAAGGATTTGGAGTTTTGAAACGCACTTTTTATGTAGCTGGCAATTGAATAATGAAAGTAAAGTAACACATAGTTTTTGCTGTACTTGTGATGTCATTAGTAATGAATAGTTGATTACAGTTTTCAAGTAACTTGCCCATCACTGCTTACCAAAGAAATTGCTGAGATCTTTGACCGCAGTGCCACCACTACAATAAAGTCAGACTTGGACAAAACACAAGCAGTCAGACAAAACTGCACAACTAGAGTAAGCACAGGAGGTCCAAGCTGAAGTAGGAAATGGAATAGAAACACGTGAATTTAAAAAAAAAAAAAAAAAAAAAAAAATGCAAAATGCATGAGTTGGTTTTTCAGACAGTTATTTGACAAAGCGATATTTCACAAAATTGAAATGGAAACACTCCCATTTCCAACTGAGCCAGTTCCGCCTGAGAGACAGACTGCTGGAAATCTGTCATCATGTGTAGTAAAGTTTTCGCCTCTCGTGATATAATTCCAGCTTTTTTAACATCACGCAATGAAAACACAAGAAGTGATTTTTTAAAAATCACTTCTTGTGTTGTCTTTTTTGCGCAAAACTACAATGGAAACCTGACTTGTGGTGGATGTTTATAATGGACAGTTTGGGTGATCATTTTACAGTTTTTCATGTTTTTTGCTTTCTCAGACATTTTAGCAAAATTGCCATGTTCATTAATAATATAATTGAACAAACAATTATTAACAATAATAATGATTCTGTAAGTACATTGTTATCATAACCAACAGAACTGACAGCAAAACCTGAGAAAATAAGATCCAAGTTTAAATTAATCAGAAATATCCTTAAGGTTAACCTAAGGTTAACAGGAATATGCATTATATAAGGAACACAGTCAAAACTCTGGTTTTCTCCTTCAGAGCCTTGGATGATATATGGGAGAGCATTAAAGAGCTGCAGTACTACAGAGCCAATGTCTTCAAAGCATCAACACAGGAGAAGAAGCGCAAGATTGTAGAAAATGGAGGCAGCAACAAAAGTCAACTCACATGAATAAGACTATGCAGGTGTCAATGTTGTGCTGCTGTATTTCCTGAAGAAAGCAGATTCATCATTCAGTGTGATTTAAGTGACTGTTTTCATTGATTTCAGTTTCTGTTCATATGTAGCTGCCCAATGATCATTTGTTCTAGTATTGTTCAAAAGTTAAAATCAGAGGTTTCATCAAAAATAGCAAGATTCTAGTAACAGTTTATTTAAAAGAAATTTTTTTGTAACATGAAAATGTACTTTGTTAGTTGCAGTTTTGTATTATTTCTTTAGTCTCGAGTTACTTTAATTTTCCCTTGTTTTTAAAATGAAACCAAATAAACTCTGGTTCCTGGGAAAACTGTCCAGATACCGTGACACTTCTATCTGCCAAACACATACTGAATGCAACAGTGTGTGGCGTATGTAGTAAATTACACACAAATATTAAGTATGTGTGCTAAATATATTGTGTGTAGAGTGTTGTGTTGATGGATGCTACTGTCCCACAGTGCAATGCAATGAAATGTGTTGTTTAACTCCGCAAGTTCTGAACAGTAGCCTTTTAAAGCTCAAGTGCAATTGCCATCTGTAAACATGTATCAAATACAGAAATAATTTTTAATCACTGTTATTACAAAATGGTACAACACAATACTTTCTTTACCTACAAACTGCCAGAACAGTATATCAGTGATGGGTAGTGTGTTTGGGACACAGCATTAGAGCCATAGGAAAAACACTAGATGGCAGTGTGCAACTTGGAATATTATGAAGTACACCACAGTGTGTTGCCCTGTTTGATAGTGAGGTAGACATGAAAAATGACTAGAAAATGGAGAATGTAATGGATTTAGACAGATGAAAATGTGTTATTAACAATTCAAATAATACAATGATACAGAACTATGACTCAAGTTAAAATTAACTGAGGTTATCTTCAAAACCATTTTTTAATTAAAACCAGAGTTTAGTTCACATTGTACACATGATCATTTTTTCACAGATAAAAAGTATTAATAGTTTTAAATGTAAGCAATGCTATTTTATTCTTCCTTTCACGATTTGTTAAAAGTTCAGGACTGTTGTAATTCAACCAATGGAGAATTTAGAATTTACTTAGAATTTAGAATTTACATAAAACTTAATACTATCTGTGATGAACTGATATCCAGTGATAATGTTTGTCTGCTGATGTATTGCTTTGTTTAAAACACTTGCTGGTCATTCCTCAAAGCTTGTCAGTGCACAAAGAGTTCAAAAGTTCAAAGTATCTTTATTGTCCCTTCCAGGAAAACTGAATTGCCTCAGGCTATACAAAAACACACATCTAAAGACACACATGGCACCAAACACTTAAGGACATGAACAGACAGTATGACATGATGGCCAGAGTGATATGTAGCAGTGAAGAGGACATAAGCAGTTTTTTGTGCTGGTTGACTGTTGTTTTATGAATTACTTCATAGTGATCTTGCATACTGTCTTACATAAATGATTTTGTTCTTAGAGTTGTTGAACAAATGTACACCCTGAGAGATCAAGATTGAGGGAATGGGACTTTGGACAGCACCATGTTTACAGCAGTTTCAGAAAGTATTCAGACCCCTTCACTTTATTGTGTTGTAGATTTAATTTTAATATATTAAAAATCAAAAACTGAAATCTCATGTTATTCAGACACTTAACTCAGCACTTTGTAGAAGCCCATTTGGCAGCAGTTACAGCTTCCAGTCCACGTGGGTAAGTCTACAAGCTTTGCACAGCTGGATTTGGGCAGTTTACCCCATTCTTCCTGGCCTATTCTTTAAAGCTCCGTCAGATTGGATGGGAAGTGTCTATGAACTGCCATCTTCACGTCTCTACACAGATGTTCCATGGGGTTTCAGTCTAGGCTTTGATTGGGTCACTCAAGTACAGTCAGAGTTTGTCATGTATGGCCACTCCAGTGTTGTTTTGACCGTCTGCTTCAGATCATTGTTTTGCTGAAAGATCGACCGTCATTCCAGTCTCAGGTTGTGTGGATTCTGGAGCAGATTTTCTTCACAGAGCTCTCCGTCTTTGACTGTATTCACCCTTCTCTCAGTTCTCCCCAGTCTCCCTGTCCCTATACTTTGCTGTAGGGATGGCTTTATCCAGGTGATATGAGCAGTGGCTGGAGTTTGCCAGACAGTGTTTGGAGGGTTGTATTTCTGTGTCATCAGACCACAGAATCTTTTTCCCCGTGTTTGACAAATTCCAGCAGTCTGTCATACCTTTTATTCAAAGTGGCTTCCATGCAGTTTGTACCATAAAGGCCTGACTGATGGAGAGCTGCTGAGATGGTCGTCCTTTCAGCAGGTTTTCCATCTCTGAAGAGGACCTCTGAAGCTATATTAGTGTGTGTTGGGATCTTGGTCACCTTCCTGACGGCCAACACCAGGAAGAATCCTGGTGGTTCTGAACTTCTTCCATTTCACAATTATTGAGGCCACAGTGCTCCTGGGAACACCCAAAGCTTTAGAAAAATGGTTTTATAAATTTATCCTGATCTAAGCCTCTCGAGTTTTGTCATTAAGGTCTACAGAGAGTTCCTCAGACTTCATGTCATGGGTTTTGTCCTGACATGCAGTGTGAATAGTGGGACCTCATATACACAGGTGTGTGTCTTTCTAAACTATATCCAAATTTGCAATATAAATATTAAAGCAGTCCCAGCCTGGTCAGATGCGTACATGAACTGATGAAGCCTTTTGGATGAGAGGTGAAACGTCTTCCCAGACAAATAATCAAGTCCAGTTGTTTTTTCGATTTAAACTCCTTTAGGACAGTGTAGAGATGTTTTCAGTCAGTTATTCAGGGGAAAAAAGGAGTGGAATGAGAGCAATCAGAGCAAATTCTAAATTATGGCGTTAACGCTACATTGAGGACAGCTACTATTGCTTACTGCCCCTGTTAGTCATTCTGGACAAGGCGACAAGGCTTGAAGACAGGTGTCTGCCCCGTCAAATGAGGCCAAGTCAGGGGGGATGGGCACTTCTGAGCCAATGCTAATAGGCTGTGAGAGGTGGGAAAACAGCTGAGGGGCTGCGGAAGGAAATGTATGAGGTATGAGAAAGAGAAGGATCAGCACTTTTTTGAAACGTTTCAATAGGTCTTTGAGGCATCAAAATACTAGTATGTTTACTTATATTTCAGATTAGAGTTAAAGCACAGTTTTCCACAGTTTTCTTTTAAGAAAGGTGCATGGGGAGCAGTGACAAAAGTCCATGGATCCCATAAGGTTAGGCCCAGAGGCCTGAAACTTCACACAGGAGTTTTTGACAAGATGTAGAAGGAATGGGAATATAATGATTTTCATAGTTCTTGTATAAAGTACTGTATATCTTAGTTGTGGGTATCAAATATGACTTTTTTTCAGGTGAGGACAAAAATACAAAAAATACCATGCATAAGTTGATGTATTTTAGATTGGATTTTAGACCCATGTAAAACATTTTTTTTTCATAAACTAGAAGATTTTCATTTTTCAAATGATGTCTCATAAATTTATTTTGGCCCTCTGTTATAAGATTTTCATTTGCACATGCAAATGTATGCAAATTTAATGTCAAATGAAATTATGCAGTTAAAAACAGGTGGATGTCAAGAGGTTGACCACAGCTCCACCACTGCAATGGAGGCTTTGAACATTGCCCACTCAGACTCCATGTCCCCAACCTCCCAGGGATGCACAAGAAATTCTTCCAGAGCTGGGAGTTGAAGACCTCACGGTTCGGGGCCCCTGCCAGTCGTTCCCACTTCACCCTCATGACACATTTGGGTTTGCCAGGTCTATCCAGCAGCCTTCCCTACCACCTGATCCAACTCCCCCCGGGTGGTGATCAGTTGACAGCTCTACCACTCTCTTCACCCGAGTGTCCAACACATATGGCCGCAGATGTGATGATATGATCACAAAATTGATCATCGATCTTTGGCCTAAGGTGCTCTGGTATCAATGCACTTATGAGGTATCCTATGCTCGAACATGGTGTTTGTTAAGGCCAAACTATGACTGAGGTCTCATAACAATGCACCACTCAGGTTCAGATCAGGGAGGCCGTTGCAACCAATCATGTGGCCAGTCTGATCAAGTAACAATTACTCTTGATAACTGCGTGATGTCTCATAGTCTGACAGCCAAAAATCTTGGTGTCACTTTCGATTCTTCCCTCTGCTTTGATCAGCACATTAAAGATATCACCAAGACGGGCTTTTTCCATTTACATAACATTGCTAGGATTCGGTCTTCTAAGACTGATGCTGAAATCTTAATTCATGCTTTTGTTTCATCAAGACTTGATTATTGCAATGTTTTGTTTTCTGGCCTCAGTGGCCTGCCACATGCTCGTATTAAAAGTCTTGAAATGGTTCAGACTGCCGCAGCTAGAAATATTACTGAATCTAGAAATTTTGACAATATTACAATGATTTTAGTCTCCCTTCATTGGCTTCCTGTCCATATCAGATCAGACTTTAAGTTGCTTTTGATGGCATATAAGGTTCTAAATGGACTTGCTCCTTCATACCTGTCTGATCTGCTTAAACCTTATACCTCGTCTTGTGCGCTCCATTCCTAGAATTTAGGTCTCCTTTCAGTCGCCCACACTGAGTTTGGTTCTGCTCGAAGTTTCTGCCTCTTAAAAGGAAGTCTTTCCTTGCCACTGTCGCCTAGCGCTTGCTCTTGGTGGGTAAATAATATTATATACAGAAGGTTTAGACCTGCTCGATTTGAAAAGTGCCTTGTGATAACTTATGATGTGAATTGGCACTATAGAAATAAAAATTGACTTGACTTGACTTGGCTTGACTTGACGTGTGTAGCCGAGTCTTCGGTGCATGCAAGCTTATGGCGAGCATACACTCACCCCCCTGTCACTCAAAGCGGGAAACCGTCAATATGTAGAACTTTAAGCCCTAATAAAATTTAAATTAAATTATGTAAGAATTCCCACCACCTAAAGTTGTCATGGAGGAAATTAGCTATAAAGACCAAAACTTATATTTAAATATTTAAATACTTTGATCAAAGTGCTAAGGAAATGAAAAATAAACCATCATGGACAAAATATCATAGTGTAAAAATGGTCAAAATCAGCAAATTTTAGGATATGGTCCACTATAAATAAGTAAATGGTTTCTCCTGACAGATAAAAATTGGAGGGAGAGAACATGTCACTTCAGGAGAAGACAGTTTTGCACAGAATGGCCGGCTTGAGATAGTTGAATGCTCTTTCGGCTCAACGATAGAATATTTAAGCAATATCACGAAGGAGTGGTTATGTACTGAATATGATATGTATATGATTCGTTCATAGGCACGAGGCCGCAGGCCAAGTACCAAAGACAATCACTCCTCTGTCAAGCTGAAAACATGCAGTTTCTGTTTCCTTCTTTTCCCTCTTTTGCTTTCATGGAAAAGCTCCCAGACAGCTTCATGGTACATTATTTGATCGGTACAACAGTTGGTAACTGTTGTGCTTACACTGTATAGCACTGACTGCACTCTGTGGTCGGCAAGAGACACAACTGAAAGTATCTTTTTCTGGTGGACCTACTATCAGAGAACACGTTTCAATGTACAAAAAGATGGCAGTTTCGAGGAGTCCGCAACCTGCAAAATACATATGAAAAATAAGAACAAGTTGCATTGCTCATTTTTTTTGTCAAATAACCTTGAAGGTTTTATAGTGTAATGTGTCTACACTACTTGGGACCAGGACAGTTATAAAGTGATTGTAGTGATAATCTTTTAATATTATGTTTTTTCAAATTTTTGTATGTGGCGTAAAAGAAAAGTATGTAAACTGGCTGACCTAGAGAACAATAGTTACAACCAGTGCTGTTTTGTGGTGTTATGTTGTGCTATGTTGTCACCTAAAGGGGGCTCTAACATGTTTTGGCATCACTGTATGGAAGATGCTGCTCAAGAGCAGACATGTTATCCCTGGCTCCAGTAAAATAGCCATCATAGTTCGATAGCTTCATTCTCTGTCGTTTATTCGTCTGAGATATATTTAACAAAATATTATGTGAGATACAACACCATTCATGCACTATAATCTTATAATTACAACAGAGACATCTGGTTGACTCTTTTATAGTTGTAGTTTGCAAATATCCTATGTTTTTTCCATCCTATGGTACATATTGGCGGGATCCCTGTTTGACGTGATGTCACATTCTTGTCCCATAGAGGGATGCTTGTGTTGGGACGCAGTGTTACAGTAGAATTGTATCATGTAAAATAGGTATACGCCCATATCGACTGTAGAGGTCCCCCTTTTACCGATTGCTTCGCGCACACCTTTGTTGCACCTCCTTTTTTCCACGCAGTGGACGGACAGGGACAGGCTGCGTGTGGACTCGTGTACATTAGGGAAACACCCAGAACACCATCTGAGGGTGAGCTCAAGGAGAAGAGTCGCTTGATGATGGCGATCAGTGTAACAAAGCAGAAAGATGCTGCTGCATTTGAATTAGTGAGGATGCTGACGCTGTAGGCTGCGCGGCGTGCCGAGGACATGCAGCAGTCTTCAGTCCTCTTTCAGGTCACACTGTAGTTACTGTGAAGTCGAGCCTTTCCTCTCCTACAGGGATTTGTCCTTACTGGATGCCATGATGCCCACTTCTCCTCTCCTCACACTGCTCTTGGGTAAGTTCAGTGCATGTTCCCTGCTGATTACTTGATTAATTATTGTGTGTGTGGTGTGTGTGTGGTGGTCAGTGGGGGGGTGAATTATTCACGTTTTTGTTGTGCTCAGACAGGTGCTTAGAGAAGTTGTATTGGGTTGTGGGTTGGTGTGCTGCATCATTGTTTGCAAACTACATCCAGCAAGATACAGGACAAAATATTGCAGTATTTGCATATTCATTAATACATTTATTTATTGTTATTGATACCACAATAACTGAACTATAAACACACTGTGGAGCACCATGTCCAAATGACAGTGTTGAAGAAATGAACAACATAACTACGAAGTACAATATAACAAAAGCCATTATAACTTGACTGTGATTCACATTGATATATTAGAAGAATATAATAGAATTGTACTGTTGAATTTTTAATTTGCAGAAAAAGTTGAAATAGATATAAATGTAGAAATAAGATAGTAATATACATGGAGGCGCTCCCAAATGTGTCTTTGTTGAAATGCACATGTATTACCAAAGAATCTCACTGTTGTCCAGACACTGGCTATCTGGAGGATTTCTGCCCTGGTTGATTTGGTGATACCTGTAGTTACTGGTGATAACAGCAGATGTGGTTTAATAGGTCACAGAATTCTCTGGGCAGCAAAATAAACCACTGTCATTTTAATGAGAAAGTCAGGTAACAATTAGCCTTTTTCCATCATTCTGAGAGGAACTGTGATCTGATTTATGACGCACACAGCGTGGGTCTGTGAACGTGTCTATTGTTTTTCCAACCCAGAGATGAAAGCCTCAACCCTTAACCCATAGAGTTGGCAGCATTTCTAAATTGCGTTGTAAAAATGATATAAGCATATGCGAACAAAAGGGCACGGTGAAAGAGTTGGTTACTTGGCACAGGATATGACCTTTGTCTTGTTTTGTAGATGCATTTTTGATTAACAGTAGTGGTCGTATGGAAGCCCTGAAAGGCAAGTGAAATTTTAGTTTTTGCGAGGATTGTTTTTCAATTTTTTTTTCATCTATATAATCAACCCCGAGAGGGAAGTGATTTTTTTTTTTTTTTAGAAGATTGCACCCCAAAATATCTTCTTCACTTGCCTCTTGGTCGTTGTTTTTTTTAGCGAGGATTTTTCTAAGTGTTTGCTTTTGTAATACTGATTTCGGCCACAAGAGGATGAAGTGCACCACTACCACAGTCTAAATCTTGACTAAAAGCCTTCATGTTTCCCTGTGGGTGATATTTAATTTCTCCATGCACTAACACAAGGTACATATAATGTGTGTTAGCAAGTTATGTACTACTGTTTCATCTCTTGCCTATAAATTTGTTCTGTTCCTGTTCACTCTCTCCATTGATTTCAGTCACCTGTGGTCTTTAATTCAAAAGCAAAATATGAATAATGGAAATTACATCAAACCAAAAAAACGACCCCTGAGAGGCAAATGAATAAATGTTATAGTTATAATAAAGGAGTCGCTTGCCTCTTGGGGGTGTAAAACCTAGAAAAATTATCCTTGCAAAGAAAAAAATTCACTTGCCTCTCAGGCCTTCCGTAGGTAAGTGCTCAGCTTACAGACAAACAAATTGCGTTATCTGTGACCATGTCATAATAACAGTCAACTTGTGTTTTGACAGTAAAATCCTTTTCATTTGAAGCTGTAGCAGTAGGAAATGTTTGGTTTGCATTAGCAGCAATTAAATGAATGTCGCCACAGACACCAAGTTCTTAATACTGCAAATATATAGATTGCAAATATATATATATTGCAATACTTTAATTAGTGGGTCATAGGCTCAATCAACATTTTATTACCTCATTCAGTGATAGATAGTGACTTAACAGACATTTATTTGAGATTGCCACTCTAAGATCACAAAAACTAAAACCAAGCTGGCTGTCGGACATAATGATTGTAGTATTTATTTTACGATGACAGTGCTGCACTAATTGTTATAACTGGAGTTACTGCTCACACTCACCTTTGTGCCTTCTGAAATATAATTCCATGTTCATTAAGAAGTGAATGAAGTGTTATGTTTAAAGACATTCTTTTCTTCTTCTTTTCTTAAAGTCAAAGGCCATATGAGTCAAAATAACATACATCTGATATCACTGATCTAGGGGAAGCACAAAATCCTCGTGTTACTACCCTGTGGTGCAAACGAAATAGCAATCCACTGATATGTGAGGTGATTAATTTTTGTTCATTAGCTCTACACAGTTGTTTACTTTGTTGACAAACCACATCCTGTGTAGGTCCACTGTGAAATTCACATCTATAGAAAATAGATATGCCTCTCGTTGGTTTCCACTGCCTGTGTGTAAGTTCAAACACATACATCAGACATGTATGAACACATCTCAGCCTCACGCTCAGCTGTTGCAACAACACAGGGCCTTGACATTACAATTAGTCTAGTTGTCCATGGGGTGATGGGAGCTTTCATTAGTTGCATTATGGGAGTGAGTTCGACAGGCCATGGCAAAAACAACATGTTCTACCTCATGGCACTGCCTCCTTCGCTCTGCGGTTGAAAACTTGTCCTTGATTTTGCCACAGATTAAATACAGCTCAATAAATCTGATGGCATCACAATTAGAATTTAGTTATAATGAAAACAGTTGCATTTTCTCTGAAAGCTCTACATATTTCTTAATTGAAAATGTATTTGAGGGTAGTCTACAGTGCTGAGTTTGTGGCAATTCACCTCTCACATTGAAGCACAGTTCATACAATAGGTAGGAATATTTACTAGGCATGCTGTGCTGAAAGCTATTATCATCCAACAACTGCCTGCTCTTGTGACCTTGAGAATCAATGTAATACAGTGTCAAAGGCCAATATCATACAATTTCAATTTTACAGGATATTTTTTTTATCTGCTATTAATGCTAGAATAACAAAGCTAGCCTGATTAAATTCTAATTTGTAATTGTCAGAGACTGAATGAATAACTTGCTGGATTTATGGTCCAAGGGAATCATGAAAAATGAGGCTCTTCTGTCCTTGCTGCTAAACAAACATTATCTAAATCTTGCTTTGGATTTGTCTCCTTCACCCAGTTGCTTTTCAGTTTTCACTATATTTTTTAATTCAATTTCTATGTGACCTTTGTTGTGCCTGCTGTCCTGTGCAGTACAGAGATATATGACAGATATCCTCAAAGATCGATTGGCGCCTGCACCTACTGTGTAATCTGACATGCACTGTGTGTCAGGTGGCTTCAGTGAGTTGATCACACAAACAATGGGTTAAGCTGTATCTGTCCCCCATCTCTATATATAGAGCAGATCACCAGTGGCAGGCCAAAGGATCTGTCAAGTGTGGAGATGAAAGAAGTCTCCAGTGCCAGAGGTGGGATGTGACATGTTGCAGCACTCTGGTCTTGAATCTCTGGCAGCCGCCCTTCCTCATCTCTCCCCCATCCCTCTCTTTCCCTCTTGTCTCTTCTTTCTGCCTCTGCAGTGTGTCTCGTAGATGACTTTGATAGTCAAGAGACACAGATAGGTAGACAGGTTTAAATCTGCTGTTTCACTTTAAGATTGAACTGGAGTGTCCATGGACTTAACGCCTCTCTTACTCTGATGCACATGCCATCTCTTCTTTGAATTAGTCCAGATTCACCTTGAGCCTTACCTTGTAGTTGCCAGCATCTGAATATATATGTAAAGGCTGTTTCACCCAAATTACAAAACACATATATTCTCACATACCGGCATCACAGTGGCATTACAGTGGTGTTACTTTGCTACATTGTTACATTGTTGGAATAAATTGGATCTGTTAACAATTTACAAGATAATTTCAGTTTATTACCACTTGGATCTTATTTGTAAAGTTTTGGTTAAAACAATATGATATATCGAGTTTGACTCAACTGAGAGTATCAGATAAGACCTGGAACTTTGTTGAGAACAATTATTCCGAACTATTGTACAGAGATTAAAGGCTTCTACTGTATGCTTACTTACATGACAGGACCTTAAGGAGTTTGCTCATTTTAATGAAGATATTTTGTTTTGTGTTTATCCATTTCAAGTACATGTTAGAGGACACCTAGTGAAAACTACAGGCAGAGAAAATGACCTGATGTTTGTCTGTTTTTGCTTTATTTTGCTCAAATATTCCATTGGGTGTTGCCATTGTTTTCTAGCCACATTATTTAAATCTTCCGTGGATGGTTGTAAGAATAATACTTTTTTGGGACGTCATATGATGCTGTGCAAGAGCTATTTTTCTTGCTATGAGGGATTTAAAACAAGGAGAATGTTTTATCAGCTGATATTCACGAGCCAGTTTCTCGGATCCAGGGGAACCGGAAGTATTCTACCAAATTGCAGTATTTTGTTATGCAAAGCAGTTTCAAAATGGTTTTAATATTCCAAAATCCACCTGTCATATTTTGGTATTTAAAGCATCCTCTCTGCCTGTCTGTTGAAAGAGAGGCTTTTGTATGACTCCAGACAATATGTTCTCTGTGTTTTTGCTGTGAAAAATGAGGTTGATATTCATTCAGAAATATTTGTCTTGTAATATTAAGTCCACCCAACCCACAGAGATTTAGGCTGTTCAGTCATAAATGTTGGTGTGTTTTCTCAAATGTGCTGCAGTAATTTAGCACTGTGCTCATGGGGTTTGGTTGTCCCTGAAACATAGTTGTTTGTTAGAAGCAAACATTCCTGAATGACAGCAATCATGCTGGTGGCTGGTGATTCACAGTCTGGTCATTAACGTTCATCTGGATCACTGTGGAGCCATCAAGAGAAAGATTGCTAATAGTGTGTCCATGCTCAGTTTGGACAGATGAAATGCTGCATTCATGTCAGTACCAATGATCTGGCTGCCCATAACTGCAGTAAATGTAATTTATGCCTGTTTTTGTTTGGAGGCTTGACTGATGCAGATATTTTGAATGTGACACTGTAAATCAACAATATTTGATCAACCTGACAACACAGCTGCAGGGCATGTTTGCTGTCTGAAAGGTTCTCTTTCAAAGTAGTGTTCATACAAGGGCTGAAGAAACACCCAGGAAGCACAGCTCCTTTTGAATTTATGCTTTATTGAATCCACAAGGAGAGTGTGTGACAAACAATTTGTCTGTGTGTGTTTTCTCTGTTAATATGAAAACTGAAGTGTCAGGGTGGATGTCATACATCATGGAACAGTGAGAGACACCATAAGAAACAATTTGACTATAACAGCCTAACCCTTACATAACCAAATAACTTCTGTATTGAGGTGAATGAACACCAACATGAATCAGTTGGTGTTGCAGGTATAATTAATAGGCTTAGTCTTGTCTGCATGAACTACAGCTGCACTGACTGACTCTGTGAGTGCTACAATGGCGTGGAGTGTGCGATTAAAAACCACTGGCTGCAGAGTATTAGGAATGAAGTACATATTTTCTCTGGAAATTAAATGCAAATAGAATGAATTGATCCCTGTTTTCTGAGGTTATCAAGTCACCAATTAAGCTGACATTAGGGAACTGCTATGCTGCTCTCCTACACTCAAATTTCCTGACTCTCTTGCTCCTGCAGTCCCTCTTAGTTTTCTCCTTTCTGCTTATTTTGCAAACAGATGGCACCCAATGTCTTCTGTGAAACGTTAGGCTAAAATAAAGCCCTCCTGCAGCCAGATGTATAATCTACATGTCCTTGACTTTTATTTGAAAGAGATCTCATCTTATCATTAAATATAGGTTACCATTTTAAAGCTTTGTCCCAGATCAAGAACTGCCTACCCGCAGATTTGCAAATCTGTAGACTTTAAGACTTAAAGTCTACATGTTACATTTCAAACATTCTATGGGATAGAAGTTTGGGATTAAATAGAAACATGAGTTACAGAACAGTTAGATATTTAATTTTACATTCTTCCTCAGATCTGTGTCTGTGAAGAGATTTCTGCTGGTCACTACCCAGGATTTGAATGTGGGTTGTTGTTTATGACTCTTATCTAGAGAGGGACAGAGGGAGGGAGGTTGGTGTGTGTGTGTGTTCATGCATGGCACAGAGAGGCCAGTATTCACATATTAGTGATAATCAGTCCTTTTGTTGTTACTTGTCCTATATAAGAAACAATCCAATATCATTAGACAGAGTCTTATTGTTACAAACTGCCACTTGCCACAATGAGCCAATGATTCAGGTACTTGTCAGGTTGAATCCCCTTGAGAATTGGAATGCTATAGAAAAGTAGCCACATCAGCCATTCATGGACTTTCCAGTACCGCCTTTCTTTTATGGATCGAGGTGTTCTGGAGACATTACGTGGAGGTTTGATCTTTAACAGTAGTTGGTCAATTTGTGGAATGGACATACCTATGTACCAAGGAGACTGATGCTTTTCAGAGTTAAACTAGAGTGAAGTGATAGATCTTGTAAATCCAAGGAGGACACTGTGCATATAGTCAAGTACACATCCCTCAATTATATCAAATCCAGGTAAAAGGGACCACACAGAAGGACCTTCCACACCCACTGAGGGTGTGCCTGCCTCAACAGCCCTTGTAACAAGCTCCAAAGTCTGACTTTGACATCTAAGTTGTACATTCTCCTCATATGGGTGAACCCTGGCCTTCCCCTGACCACGTTTTACCAGTGTTCCTTTTTGAAGACAGAAATAACATCCAAATTCTCCATTAAACTTTTTGAAGTTCTGTAGGAGCAGATGGGCAACAGAATCACTCACAAATATTAAAGCATACACTTTGCTGGTACCATGAACAGCAGTGGAAGTAACCCAATCAAAGCCACGCTCATGAAGATCAATGCAATCTTTTACAAATGGGTCGAGATAGATGTTCATCGGGGGCTTTCTAGTTCCAAACCACAATGCTGTTAACATGATGTGGTCTGATTTCAGATGGGGCAGAGGTTCGTTTAGAGTGCACAAAAGGGGCCATATAGACTCTGAAGAGGATTTGGATAAAGGTACACCATCACAGCAAAAGGTGATTGAAAAGTTGTGACAATCATTTCGAGGTGTTAAGGTTTTCCAGGCTTTCTTGTAGAGAAGACCATTACGTATCAATTGAGTCAGGATTTAATTTAGCCTGGTTATCACCTGTCAATTGCGATAATTTGTGCTGTGCAATAAGGTTTCATAGTTGTGCTTCAAGAGGGAGAACAATGAAAGTTTTCTGATTTTATGTTCTCCTTTGCATCCACCTCTTTACAGCAACTTCTGTAACTTTCACCTCTAGCTTCCATCAAGACAGTACAATCTCAACAAAAATGCTTGACAAGAATATAGTCCTTGTAATCACTTTGCTTTTGTAAAAGGGATATTTAGTGGTTGACACTGAGTGTTTACCCGTGACAGCATTTATGACTAAGTATGTTCTCGATTGCTTCCTCAGTCAATCGATGTTTTGATTTTAATGGTAGAAGGAGCAGCTCATGCTCTTTTCTTCTTTGTTCATGTAGTTCTTTCTCACTGTATTGTGACACTGTTCCTAGAGGTTGTACATGCCTTTTATTGCTGGGTGTTTTTTCAATTTCATTGCATATTTGTTCTTTGTCATGTTAATTATCCTCACAGATGTCACCATCACTTGATTCTTCTTGGCTTTCCGTTGTTTTCTGTTCACCATGGGAACTTACCTGTACAAAACAGATAAGAAAATAATTTCTAAATATGCATCTCTGATAAATCTAATTCCTTTAAGTCTTCACTTGTCCCATTCCAATTCCCACTCCAAAGACCAAATGAAATACTAATTGCCTATTCAATGTCAATGACAGAAGTTAAAGGGCCCAGTTCTTCTCAAATGTCATAGACTTTGAACAAACTCCAGAGATTTAAGCAATAAATGAATATAAACAGGCAATTTTCAACACTTTGTTGTTCTGGATTACTCATATATCAAGTCTTTTATTCGCTCCCTCACTCTGATCCACTTTGCTTTGTCATCCTTTAATCCTTTAATCTGGCTGTTGTTGCATATGGTATGCCAGCACGTGTCACAATATAAGTCCTTTTAAAATGAAGGGTTTCTGTCCAGTGAAACACTAAAGGGCTGTTAAATTGAAACAGTAACAGGAAGTGTTTAGTTTGTATTAATATTGAAATGCAGTAACAGGGCAAACGGGAGCAGATCAAAACGAGGCTTTGTACTAAAATATGACCAATTATACTTATCAAACAGAGGGAATTAGAAATTAATGCGTGCATCTAATACAAGCACGCACATCCCAAGAGACTTTCACAGGTGCCGGATCAAAATAAATAAATAAATAAATAGAAATAATAATACAATGTTTCAATCTACAGTGATCTTCGTCAAGCGCTGTCAAATCAAATTCGAAATGCCTAATTACATTTCTATTGCCACCTAGTGGAGA